AATCAGCAGCTGATTTTGCCACTGCAACATTTGCACAAACGATTCTGACTTGACCTGTATCCTGGAGGAGTCGTGTACTGAACCTGAAGTGATCGAGGAACTTGAAGAGCAGTTTACAGGATTCACTACCGGTACCTAATGGATCTTCGCAATCTCACGAGATATACTGCTTAGCGCAAAGTTGATCATGCATCATCGAATCATGAGATACTGTTCAGGAAGCCCTCCCAAATCATGTGTCAGCCGATGAAATGGAGGCCGACGGCAGCCAACAATTTATCCCTTAAAAGGAAACTGAGGTACTCCGGTGTCCATATATGCAGCAGCAGTTCAGGACGCAGCAAGACATCGTCGAATGTAAGATACTTGCTGCCAACCTGACAGCCAAGGACGAGATCAGCATAATGAGGACTAGCCAGCTCAATTAAAAGCCGATATCAGAGTAATTCTTAAAGTTTACCTGACCAAATGTAAGGAATTTAAATCCACTGTATTATTAAAGGTTTGCCTGACCAAGTGTAGAGAATTTATACCAATTTATGTCTAGCCTTTTAGGTTGTCAACTAATTGAAATTTTGGAGCAGCCTGTAAACGTTGTTTTTACCTTTAAAAGAATATTAAATAAACGCAGTGAGCCCTGTTGAAAGTTCACTGGTTTCTACTCCAGAGATTCGAACTATGGTAGGGTATGTGTCGAATGGATCTTCAGGCTTCTAAGTGATAAACTATCATATTTGGCAATATCAAGGTTTAAGGGGTTTACATGTGAAGGTCTCACCGTTTGGCTGGTCGTAAGATTAGGTGACATGTGGGACCCCGAGGAGACGATTGAGAAGACTAGACAGGGAGATATTGGGCAAAGACATGACATATATGCCAGCGAATTAAAAAAAGGCAATTATGACAAGGCGGTACGGTTGCAATGTATGACTAACGTACGAGATGGGCTGGAAAGACCGATACGATCAGTCAATTACAAGGTCAAGTTGCAGTGCAGCTGCGATGCATGTTGTAGTATTGACAAAGGAAAATAATTAATGCTAGGTAAATTTACTTTTACTACTAACTGCCTTTGCACAAGTGCAAACCAACATCATGACTTAGCATTGTGTGCAATGCAATAGTTCCTACGCAACTAGATATATAGATAGTTCGCACTTGTAAATTAACAAATCACTGATGAGGCCCCCGGTGGTGGACCTGAACGCGCCTATTGCGCGGTTTTACACAAGCCAATTAGTTAGCTTTACTTGTGTTTTTACAGGTCCAACTTGGGATCGGATCCCGTTTAACGATCTGTACAGGTTATTTAGTAATGTAAACTAGTGTAGACAGGTTCTGCATCAGTGATGTACATCATAAATTCTGAAAAGATCTTAGCCATCAAAGCGTCTACAGCAGTAGGTATAAAATAACTCATTGTATAATTAAAACGTCTGATCAGTTATACTCGTAAACGTGCGCCACAGCAGCTAATTATTCGGAGATAACTCGAGAATTTTTTGTTATCCCGCCTAAGTTTTGTAATTCCGCCTGCGCTTTGTACTTTTGCGACACCCGAGACAAAGTCATGAATGCATGTCACTGACTCATGATTTTTAAATTAAAATAGGTCATTGGCGAAGATTGGATGCACATTATTGGATGCTGATGATTAAGAAGAACGATGATTTAAACTCGACGACGTGGTTTAGAATAAAACTAGCAACACTATTCTGGTAAGCCAAAACGAAGACTGACAAACCGTTTAAGTTGACCAAACCTTTACCAGTCGCGTTCAAGAGTAAATTTTTATGCTGGCACCAACCAGAAGCAAACGGCGCAAGTTGTGACTCGCAATACCGCACCAACCAATATTCGAAAGCCGCAATTACGACACCAGTCCCAAAAACAGTACCACTACAGCACGAAATTAATGTGTGCACGCTATAATGATCTTCTGAATGTCTAAGTTAATATTCCAGGTTCCAAGAGTAAATTTGACAGAGGACAAAACCATTCATGCGTTGAGATGTCCACTGAAAGGTCAGTGATCGATTTAGGCCCAGTTCAGTGCCACTCGCATGATGCGAGTTCTGCTTTCCATTTAATCGAAATGCTCGCTGCGCAAAAAATTGCCTACGTAATGTGTATGATTTCCTGATGTCGTTGCTATTTACTACGACTGCCCTTCCTGACAACTTTCCGACTCGCAAGAAAAATTTATTATATGTTGCTAACTAAAGCTGCGGTTCTTACCTTCTCGCGACATTGTAGCAAAGAAAGTGCTTGTAAAACATTGGGGAGAGAGGCTTATTGTGTTTGTGATGCAGTTAGAAGCCGATCAATGTATATCGTTGCCTAATGCTGGACGTCAAACACGGTACTCGATCATGTCCGGTTATCGCATACTGCTAAACGCGTCGGTAATGTCATCGAAATGGCCGTGTAATGCTGCTGTACAATAACACTGAACGAGTACCCACGACTTAATACGTACGAAAGATGCGAGACAATAACTTCTCTAAAATTCATTCACAATTGCCGCAGCACCGACGCGTGTCGTGGTGTGTGGTCTTATTTACCACTTACAAGGCCCGTCGAACGCGCTTGCACGACTATAGAAGGGTGATGTGGACACTTTGCTAGCCGTTGCTTCTTCCCCTGTGATAGAAAGGTAAAATTGATCGATTTGAGTAATTAGACACACACAAGATTCCCGATTCACGCAAGAAACGTCGTGTTCAACACGCGCATCATCCTATAGAGAATGCACATGATCACTTAGTACATCAGTAAGGTCTCATAAATTTTGTGGCACCTTCCGCTCCAATTCGTTTGAATCGAATAACGCATGAACTAAATCTGATTATTTACGAATGCCACACTGTCACTTATAACAGTTGTCAATGTTAAAATCCAAGTTCGACTGCTTGTTAATGGCTTAACGTCATTTCCTGTTCGTCTTCCCCTCCTGGTCTTCCTTTTACATATCGCGCGACTGCGCGAGAGACCTTCACGAGACCCCTCCGCGCGTTTCGGGATTGAGCATCGGACGATCTCCGCCGAAGGTGGGGGCTTGAGAGTGGATAGGGGGAATGTATTGAGTGGCTAACTGCGGGTAGCGAATGGAATGACAAATATTTAGGAGGCCAATGTAGCATTACACACATTAATTCAGTGCTGAAGTGGTGCTGCTTTTGCGAGTGGTGCCGGTTTTGCGGTTTTATGCATCTGGTTGGTGACGTATTGCGACTTACCCCATGTTCGGTCAAAATAAATTTAGGTTATAGAGATGGTGAATTGCAATTTCCGCTACACTTTTTACACTATCCACCACACCGTAACTTTTGATAACTAGTTTCAGCGCACCGTACCACACTGCCACACCATTACACACTCTTGTATACGGATCGTAGGGGACTTTCCTAGCTGTAACAGTGATATTAAGCTTGGGAGTAAGTAGAAGGAAGCGTTTGATTCGTTTACTTTCCAACATACACTGATTTTTACCTTGCTGGAACCTGCGCTTTTGGTAGCGGCCCTCGAGGTATAAGTCGATAAGTTACAACCTTTTCATTTTATTGTCAATCTCAATTTGCGCAAGATAATACCACACATCGCTTTGGTATCCGCTCAAAACTCGCTGACAAGTTGAGACTATTGCGTACTCGCCAGCGCCCCCCTTCCCACAAGAGAAACGAGCAACGACGATAACAAGGATAAGGAGTGAGAAAAGACAGTGTATCGGAAATAGGGTGCTCCTGTGTAGGATGGTGTTGATAAAGAAGATTAAGCTGGAGATCATCACTTAATTTTTTTATGAGTACCAGAAAGACGCGCACGCGGCAAGAGCGACGTGCATACATAGCTGAAGACACGACGCCACAAAAGGTGGTGAAAAGTATCCCATTGAATGCGAGGAAAAAGGTCACGATTCTGCAGGAGATTGAAGTGCTGCAAAAGATTGCGTTCTTCTAGTAGATTTTCCCTTAGTGAGAGGACGAAAAAAAACTCTTGATATACTGTAAAATGATTTTGTGCAACTCAACAACTACACAGGGTCAAAGCACTATAATGTAATTCCTAGACGTATTGCAACGCACTCTACATTGACAGGAAGAACTCAAAGGCGCTATAGGTTATAAAATTGTTTGTTATGTTACTTAGCATATCGAACGGCAAGTCGCGCACGACTTTGAGAAATAAAAAGACTTAAGTTAAACAGAAATTCTTAAACCGTCACTAACGTTTTTGGCGATTCAAAAGTGCAATAATTTGAGATCTTCGTTGAACACAAGGGTGGGTGATGTCGTGCTGCTTTTTCGACTGGTGCCGCATTTGCGACGTTCGCATCTAATGGTTGCCGGTATTTCGACTTACTTATGTTGTCTGTTGGTGCACTTGTGCATTTGGAGTAGGAAGTAAAAGTAAAATATACTGAGTGTTAACAATCCTTCGTTCACACCATCATATGTACTTGATGACCACCACTGCAACTTGACCTGGTCAAGTAGCATCTGGCATACGTCCAGCGTGCCCATCACCGTATGCCATCCCTGGTCCCACATGACGTCCGCATATCGTTATGCAGGTCCTCAGTCTCATATGTCGCGCCTTGTCTCGTATGTCGCGCCTTGTTTTGTATGTCGCGCCTTGTCCCACATTTCACGTCTTGTCCCACATGTCAGCTTGACAGTCGATCAGGTGAGGTTGCACTTTACCTGTCACAGGTCTTGCAGTCTCCACCCCGAGTTTCCATGACCTCTTAGAATCAATGTCTTCTAGCACTTCTCCTCAACATCAGCCTGAAAAGGCATCATGTTGAACATTACTTGTAGTTAATTTAACCTTGGGGCGGGCAACGACTTCGTGAGGATATCCGCCATCATGCACTCCGATTTTATGAATCTTGGTACCACAGTCCCTTCGCGCGCGTGATGACAGATAAACTTTTTGCGGATGTCCACGTGCTTCGCGCTTGATGTGCTCTTCTCTGTCTCGAGTTGCTTGATCGCCGCTTAGTTGTCCATCCACATCGGCATGGGCTCGACCATCGCCATTTTCAGCTCGTTAAAGAGCTTTCTTAATTCCAGCAACTCACGAACACCCTGCGACGCTGCCACGAACCCCGCCTCCATCGTGCTAAGGGCCCTCCTGACTGCTTCTTGCATAGCCAGAACACAACAGCTCCATCTACAGTTACCACACACCCAGTCATTGGCTTACGGTCAGCTTTATCCGCAGCGAAGTCCGCATCGCTCCAACATTCGACCTTGATGTCTTCCGTAGTCGGGTCGTTTCCATTGAGGTGCAACTTCAACGTCTTGGACCCCTTCAGCTAGCGTACGATCCGCTTTGCTGTTCTTCAGTCCTTGATGGTAGGTTTGTGCGTTTAACGGGTGGCCTTTTGTACCGCGAAACAAATGTCGGGGCGGGTGCACCTCGCAATCCAGAGCAGGCTTTCGACCAAAAATTGGAAACGCCCAGACTTGGGTCACCGCTTGAACCTCTCGCACGTAATAGCTTCGCTTCTTCATCGTCATCCTCGTTGCACTCATCGCCGATTGGTGTCCGTACAGATTTGCTGATTCCAGTTTGAATCTCTTAGCAAAGCGTCGATCATCACTTCCTGGTCCAGAACGTAACCATGTGTATCGTCCAGCGAGATTCGGATCTCCATAAACTTCTTTACGACTCCCAAATCCTTGATCGACAGTGTCTTTAATCCGGCGAAGAAATCGCTCAATGCATCTTGTTTGGTGCCCGTCACCAGGAGATCATCGACATAAACGCCCACCACGGTCCAAGTATCACCTTTTCGCTTTTAATAGAAACACATGTCCGTGGTGCACTAATGAAAACTTTCTTCACTAAGCTTCGATTGCAGGAGCTTGTCCACAGTCGTCTAGCTTGCTTCAGTCCATAGAGGGACTTTTTCAACATCAGTGCAGCTTCCTTAATCTGTTTTGCTCCAACACCTTCGAGTTCCTTTGCGGTCACCTGCCTGCCCTTTGTTATCTTCATGTACAGGTCCAGGTGCTCCTCCTTTTATGCCTTTACGTAGGCATTTGGCACATCGCCATGACGTGCCGGCACGTTCCATCTTTCTGAGAGCACCAAAATTAACTTGACGGTTGCCAAATCCATAACCGCCGCAAACATCAGATTGTAGTCGACGCCGAAAACGTGTTTTTTCCGCATACAACCAAACGAGCCTGAAAAAATTTCAAAATTTTATCATTAGCTTCAAATATTTTATAAAAATTATGAAAACCAATTTACAAAAATATTACCAAAATCACGAAGCTATTTATTCCTATAGGACTTATTGGTCTTAATACCATTCTAAATGTACTAGGAAAATTGATTTGTGTAGAGGTAGTCTCTGTTGTTTGCGTTATTATTTCTTCGATTCTTCTCATTGTGATGGGTCGACATCGAGGTGCCAAACGACTCCGTCGATAGGAGCTCTTAGGAGTCATCAGCCTGTTATCCCCGGAGTACCTTTTATCCGTTGAGCGATAATCTTTCCACAAAGAATTATCGGATCACTATGACCGACTTTCGTCCCTGTTTGATATGTCTATCTTACAGTCAAGCAAGCTTTTATCATTATACTTTGTATCGTTCGATACCACCACTCGCATCCGTCTTCGTCTTGTATACCCACTTGTTGTGCAGGACGTGCGCACCTCTTGGAAGCATGACTTTCTCCCAGACGTCGTTCGACTTTAATGCATTTAGCTCTTCAGTCATGGCTATAAGCCACTGGTCACAATTCTTGCTTTTAATCGCTTCACCATAATGCTTCGGGTATTGATCGATGACGACGTTCACGACATCACGGTTTTCTTGCGTGGCATAGTCCTTTGACTCCTTTAGGTAATCCACTCTCGTCTACCTTGTGCCGTGACGTTCCCTGGTCCAACAAGTCTTTCGACCCTTGCGGATCTTTTTAGCACGTTTTGCACCATTTTAATGATCTTCATCATCAACCTGATGATTACGTCGCGGCATCTTTTGACGGTTTACTGCATCAGGATGAATTTTCTTGTCATCTTGGTTATCTGCTGGTGCTTTAACGTTTTGCACGTGTTGAGTCACTTTGACCACTTTGTCCACCGGGATGTACACCTTGTACGCCTTCGTTTCGCTGCCTCGTCCAATGATGATGCCTTCCCTGCCTCGCTCCCCGAGTGAATTGTTGCTCGGATGATTATGCGTAGTACATGTTGAGCCGAAGGCAACTCTGTCCTTCAGCATGGCAGCCTTACTCGTCAGAAATTCCATAGGTGACACTCCTACAGGGTTCGACTTGGTGCGGCTACGGTTTAAAATGTACGCAGCGTACTCTGCGGCATCGCCCCAAAATGACAGTGAGAGGTTTAACGCGAAGATCATGCTCCGCACCATGTTCATGATGGTGCGGTGCATTCTTTCAGCCTTGCCGTTGCTCGCTGGGTTTCTCGCTTCACTCACTTGACGCGAGATGCCTTCTGTCGAGCAAAATATATTGAGGGTCTTGTACTCTCCTCCACCGTCATTGCGTAAGACGTGGATCTTGCAGTTAGATTCACGTTCGAAGCTCGCCATGAAGAGTTTAAACTTCAACGCAGCTGCATCCTTCGTCTTGGACAGAAACACTCGACAGTAACTTGACCGATGATCAATGAACTTGACCATTTATCGGTTGCCCAATCGGTCTCGTGGATCATGGGACCCTTGAGGTCCGAGCATGTGACGCCCCCGATCACGTCAATTGGTGAGTTTGCGCCTGTGTCTCTCTTTGAATGGGCCGTCTTGGTTTGCTTACCCTTGGCACAGGCCATGCACTTCTGTCGTGTCGTGTCAGTCAGACGTATGCACGACGCTGGTACTTCAGCCATCTTCAGAACCGTGTCACGACAGAAGTGTCCCAGACGCCGGTGGAAATCCTTTAAGGTACCGCAATGAACGTCCGAAACGGATTCATCATCAGGTGCGTCCATGACCATAATCATCGAATCTCGTGATGGTATTATGGTACGATTATTGTGACTCATCCAAGTAACAACCAGAACGTTGTTAAAGCTTTCCGCGTTCATGATGAGTTTGCCACCCACTCTGGAAGATAACACGCGCCTTCCTCCTCGATATTCGAGCACGCACCCCTTTACCTCGAGCAATCCGAACGAAATGATGTTCCGCTCAAGGTTTTCAGCGTATTGAACGTTAAGGAGCCCCACTGTGTTGACGACCCCAAACGCAACTACTTGAACGTCAGCAGTGCCTTGCAGCGTGATACGTAGCGCACTTCCATCGGTGGCTGCGGTCGTGCACTCACTGTTGTAGGGGATTGCGTCGGTGTGTATACTTGAGCCGTTAACCAAATGTCTACTCGAACCGCGGTCGAGTATCCATTGGTTCTGTGAGTCGTTTGCACCACGAGCAACCATGAAAACGAAAATTGCACCCGAGGACTTCTTCTTTCCCTGAGGGCACCGCGAGCGGATATGTCCGACTTCGCCACACTTGAAACACTTCCGTGCGTCTATTCTTGTCTGCGTCGTCCTTGTTTTTGATTTCTCCTTGAGTTCCTTCACTGGTTCGACACTGTTCATCACGTCGCGCCCGAAATTCTTTGTGTGGGTGTCGACCTCCGTTGACTGCGCAAGTTGAGCCAATTCCTCTGCCTGACGCAGGTAGTCGAGCCGGTTGGTGTCCAACCTGGACAACATCGTTGTTAGCACATGTGGGTCACTTAATGGACGATGTTGTCCAGCACGAGGTCGTTGGCGCCACCACAGGCGTCACTGACGGCCGTCAAGTACAGGAAGTGGTCCGTCCAGTTTCGGTGGGTTGCCTTGGGTGCCGTAAATAACTTCATGCTCTACGCCGGTGAAAACTTCGTGGTAAAGGTCTTCAGCATTCTCTGCACTGTATGTTCTAGGGTGTTGCTCTCTGCCCGCCATGTTTCGACCTGCCGACGATAGTAATTCTGTGCCTTTCCGGCTAGGTGCTGGCCTAGAACATCAACCTTGATGTCCTCTGGCCACGCAAATTAACATGCACGCTCTGCAAATCCGACTTGGCGGACGAATTAATTTCCCCACTCATGAAGCCGCTACCGAGACCATGGTAGAGCTCCTTCCCATCAAAAGGTTGCAACGCGAGCTTCCGTTGTTACGCATCCGGCATGTCGATCCTCGGATGACCAAGGTGACCATACGCTTAATTGGGAGCACTCATGCCGGGATGGTACCCCGCAAGTATGCCCACCCCGTATTGCCTGGGATCGGTTCCTTGATTTATTTTTATGCCCAGGTCTACGTATCTTGCAGGGGGGGGGCTTTAACACCTGCCTGATGTTGTTGTCGCCTTATGCCAAAATAGGTCGCTGGCGACACGTTTGTCGATATCATAGGAGGGCTTCCGTCTAACGCCTCGGTGTTGATCCCTGCCTCGACCTCCCTTTTCCGGTTGTCGCTACGGAACTCGAGTGAGTCCGTGTTCAGCCTGCCGTCATTTTCTCTCTGGGAGACCTCCACCCTATTCATTCTTTCGGACAGGTCCCCGAGCATCACCAGCATTTTCTCGATCGCCTTCTGAGGCGCTGCTGAATTTACTCCCAGATAGTGACCGTTGGCATTATCCTGGCCATCGACCACTACGTCAGGTGCCGCTGGTTTAGCCGCACCGCCAACACGTTTGTTTGGGCTCAAAACCTGTTGTTTGTTGGTGCACTTGTGCATTTGGAGTAGGAAGTAAAAGTAAAATATATTGAGTGTTAACTATCCTTCGTTCACACCATCATATGTACTTGATGACCACCACTGCAACTTGACCTGGTCAAGTAGCATCTGGCATACGTCCAGCGTGCCCATCACCGTATGCCATCCCTGGTCCCACATGACGTCCGCATATCGTTATGCAGGTCCTCAGTCTCATATGTCGCGCCTTGTCTCGTATGTCGCGCCTTGTTTTGTATGTCGCGCCTTGTCCCACATTTCACGTCTTGTCCCACATGTCAGCTTGACAGTCGATCAGGTGAGGTTGCACTTTACCTGTCACAGGTCTTGCAGTCTTCACCCCGAGTTTCCGTACCCTGTTAGTAACAATGTCTTTTAACAACTTTATGTTCGGACGAAATAAACTTAGGTAAATAGTCATACTGACTACTGTGAAGTTCTATGCGCATAAGGATGAGAGGAAGTTATACTGGTCTTTAATTGGTGCACAAAAAGCCAAGTAATACTTATTACTGCCGGAAACGCTCTTACGTCGTAATACTTTGAGAAGATCTTAGCCTTCCGAATAGGTTATATAAATTCGAGCAACTTGTTTTAAGGTCATCGATCAGTTGCGTGGTACATGTAAAGTCAAGTTGATGTACTGTAGATATCTGCAGTGCACTTCTCGCTGTGCATGTAAGGATTACATCAGGCACTTACTAGCCACGACAACATTACTTTTTTCTGTCCGACAGCGGAAGCAGTTCTCGTGAACTCGCGCTTTACAGCAAATGACGAAGGCAACGTCACACTCAATATCATTTGTACAGACTTACCCATCGACTAAACTTTGATGCCGTGCACATCATTTCGATCAGTTCGCACTTAGACGGAAATGCAGCGTGCCATAGCCTGCATATCCAAGGTCATTCATCAACTTACACGAACTCGACGACGCGCGTCTAATCTTGCACGTCATAAATCAATATGACAGAAGCCGACGCCTTGATCTTCGCAGCTCTGCAGCAGAGCGAGATCATGTGCGTCTTTTACCGATCACTAGCATCACATTATCTCTACTCGCTGTGTGTCCATCACATTTACACAGCAAGTTATCATCCTCACCACTATCTTGTGTTATTGCAATTTATTTAGACTGGCACGTCCCCTGACATCGGTATCTGATCTCACGTCGGACGAGCTCCTTGCAATCGTGCACAAGTTTCTGATGCAACTCAAATGCGTGGACGACAGTCCGACCTTTTCGCTTTCTTCTTTCGACGCTATAGCTTCGATGAGCGTCGCGGCGAAACATCGCGTCAGTTTGAAGACTGCAAGTATTCTCAAGGTATTCTTTTGACGCCTATTCGTTATGGGTAGCCTGAGTAGAGATTTACCCGTTAGTAAACGAGGGTATCAGTACGCTAAAATATGTGGCTGCTGTAATTTGGTCGTGTATGCAGGAACTAGGGTATACGGGAAATTGCCGCTACCATCACTTTTTGTATCCAAGCGAGAAAGAGACGAAGAACATTTTGACGTGGATCGTGAGCAAGTTACCGAGGTTCGAAGAGGAGGAGACGAAAAACGAACCATTCCTTGATGGCATGGGAAGACGGACAGGAAGTGGACTAGGGGATGCGGTTCTTGATCGTGGGTCATTGCGCGACATCTTCGTTAGCTGGAAACGAGAGAAAACGCTTTACATGCTGCCAAACAATTATATCGAGGGACTGCGAGGGTTTCAGCGGCTGCCACTGCAGACATCTCCGCTTGAATTGCCGTGGAATTCGTCGGGGGAATCGACACGAACGTTGTTTAGAGATTTATCCCGTAAATCTGTAAAAGTGACGTCACTTTTGGAGGCTCTTGCAGTAGAAAAATGTGGTGCGACGGTACTTTTTCGAGAAGATGGGCTTGGCGAAGAAGTCGAGACAGAAGGAGTAGACATCCAAATGTGCCAAGGACAAGCAAAGGATGTACAAATAGGGGCGGGGAAGAGTGAATGTTTGGCCTTGCAAGCTACTAGGATACAGAACAGCGAAGCTGATGAAACCCGATTGCAAACATTCGGCGCTGGACTTTCAGACGTGTCCAGATCGTCAGGCGCCTCAGCGCAGGAATCTTCTGGTGAAGGTGCTGGAAAAATCAACGCATTCGAATTCGAGGAGCTGAAAGCTGTCGACACGAGTCAAGCAGAACAAGAGACTTCTGAAGGGAATGAAGAAAAGCTTTCTCAAGATACACAGAAACTCGTAAGCGACACGAACCACCGCCTTGTTGCAATGCAAAAAGTGCTACGTTGTAAACGTGGTGAGCTGTACCAGATCGAGCAGCATATTCTTGAAACGCGAAATAGGGGGCACGAAATGCAGAAAGAGCTTTCAAGACACAAGCAGCTATTGGCGATGCTTCCTGATGCACACGCTAACATTGAGAAGCTAAACTCAATTTGTGAGATAAATGCGAAAAAGAAGGAGGAGGCAGCGCAGCAAATGGAAGCCGCTCGTGGAGCTTTGCTGGACGAATACGGCGAGTATCGAGACCGGGTTTTGAGCCGAAAAGCTCGGCGTCGACAACTTATTCGCGAAATGAAGACTTTTCAAACCGAGATGCTGGAATTCAATGGTATTATTCAGTCAAAGAGCGAATATTTGCAAACTTTAGAAAGGGTTCACGAGCGACAGATGGTTAAGCGTCACCAAAAGGAAGACAGTGTTGGTCGGGCCATGACACGGAGCGTCTATACGTCACGCATTATGGATATTATTAAGCAGGTCCTCAAGCAAAAGCAGGATATTACAAAGATTTTGGATGACATCAAGACACTGCAAAAGCAGTTGGATGCTGCTTCAGAGAAGCAAAAGCGAGCTGGAACTGTGGCTGAAAAGAAGATGTACAGTGCAGTTAGCAGAAGCAAAAGCGGTAATAGCACGAAGGCTGGCGCATATGAAGAGTGCTACCGCAAGTTTGCACAAGTGAACGAATTGTTCGAAAAGCTCGTAGTCACTGTCGGTGACGTCGGTGAAAATGAGAATGCAGCTCGCGATCTGCAAAATTGGATCTTTCAATTGGAGGCCCGTGGGAGCAGCAAGCATTTGGACAAGGTGCTTGCTGATCTTGAAAGCGTACGTGGAGAAAACTTACTGCTACAAAACGAGCTGTGTGCACGTACGAGCTCATAGATTCGTGGGTGCGAAGATGCAAGGTAATTTCGACCACTGCGCATGGCTGGACTACGCGCTGCAATTGCTTCTATGGGTAGCGTGCATTTTTTGGTGCAAATACAAATATGTACCAGAAAAGCTTACAGACAATGTGAATCGTATAAGATCACTCACGAGCTGCTCTATCAACACGACATGGGTTCAAGTAACACTAGTGACGTGACCAATCGCAGCTTGAATCAATTACAAATGTCTTTATATATGATACGGCCGTCCTTTCATGTGAAAATTGTTGAAGTGAGTAGCCACACGGGCGTCAGAGTTGGTCTTTCAGTCTTGTAATTCATTTCGTATATTAAGAGCGCAGCGTAGTTTCCTTACCCGACACTGCACTCAAGTTGCATCATCAGAAGGACTAGGTAAATTTAATAGAATCCATACATGAGCTTTCGCCGACCTTTATCAATGTTACTTTGAAGCGATCAAGCGATGATCAGCTTTGCTAATGCGTAAAGCAGATCCATCCTTCGTTTTATCAGTCGAAGTAAGCCGATAGAAGAGGAGACAATAGAGTCGTAAAACCTCCTGCTGATGAGCCTTCGTCGTTCATAGCATCATCACGCGATGAGTAAACGGGTTGTCTTTGCATCAAAAGTTGACAATCGACGGCGCTACAACATTGACATCATAGCGGAATGAGTACACTACAGAAGAATCGTTACCTTCCAGAACAGCAGGATAATCTCGATAGTTATTGCAGAAACTACTCGTATTCGCCTTTGACTGTTCCACTGCACGCCGTGTCACTATCAGCAGCCTGGTGGCCATCAAGAGTATCGCAGCTGTGGTCAACAGACTCGCCGCTGTCACTGCAAGGCAAGTATCTGGCAGCAGCAGAGAAACTACGTTACGACCATTAAGCTGGCTAAAGTAAACAAGCGTACCGAGTGTTCGTCGAGGTAGAACAGATTTCTTGTTGATTACGCAGTGCACGAAGACGACTTAGGTGTGCATGCATCGAGGACGTTAGGTGCTGGACCTGCACGGACGCCATGAAGGCCTCCACGCAGACATCGTCCTGCTTGGATCTACACTGACGTGAGACATTTCCAATCCATGTCACAGTAGAACTCCGTGGCTGGTCGTACCTCTTGAAATCGGAAATCACTCGTTTTGCAAGACCGGCCAATGTGTCGTGCGGTTCGTCACCACTCGAGGCGTCACTGTTGATTGCGCGGAGCTCAATCTCCACTTCACGTAGCTCCTTCAGCGCAGAATCCACCGACTCTTGCAGCATACGCGTCAAGCGTTTCAATTCTGCCGACTGCCGACGCTCTTCTTCTAGTTGCAAGAGAAGCGCCTTCTTCTCGTCCGTAGCTCGACTGTGTCCTTTCACTGGCTGCTTTCCACCTGTCGTCGATGTAATCAGCACTATCGTCTGTTCAGCGTTTGTCACGCGCCGAGCAAGTTGGTCTTGATGCGCACACGCTCGTGCGAGTCGTGCGTCCAGCCTCTCGTGCGCATTTAGTGTCTCTTTATCATCTTCCCCTTCCACTTCATGCAGCTTAACGTCGACAGCTTTCAGGTACTGCAAAACGCTCGATAACTCATGACGCAGTCGACAATTCTCCGCCTCAATCTTCAGTCGGTCTTGCTCCAACACTTGAAACCGCTTGTCGACTGATCGCTGGCATAGAACAATTGCATTGTCCATGCTCTCCTTGTCCGATCGAAAAGCCTGAACTTGAGCCTGCAACACCGTGACCAGTTGTTGACGCACAACATCCATCGCTTCATAACGTTCAATCTCATCAGCCGCTCGGGTCTTGATCATCTCCAGCTGCTGCACCATCTCGTCCTCACTATACACTTGCCTTCCAACCTGTGGATCCTTCTCTTTTAACGCCTGCAACGCCGGCCGCAGCCTCTCTCCAGCATCGGTTACCACCCGTTCCTCATGTTCCACCGCCTTCGCTCTGCTCTGCTGCTCGGAGTCCGGCACACTCTCTACTTCAAGACGTACTGTCTGTACAGCAACAGAGTCCGAACCTTCGCCGTCACTCTCTTGCAGCACGTGACGAAGCATCTGATCCGCTTCTGCTTCTCGTTGCGCCTTCTCCGCTTGCCTCGCTACCGTCCGCGCCACCTGCACGTCCCTCATGAGCATCTCGATCGTCTGGGCAGCTTCTAGCATCTGGACGTCCTGGTCCTGCAGCTGTCTCTGGAGCTGATGCACTTCGCGCCTTCTCTCTTCATCGCTTTGCAACGAACTTGCGCGCTGCGTCTGCTGCGCTTCCAGCTCGTCCAGACGACGCTGTTGGTCGAGGGTTTCTTCGTAGAGGCGGTGGATCTCCGCCTGTTGCTCCTGCAGCGTCGGACAGTTGGCGTAGAAGCGCTGGAGCCATCGAGACGACGTACTGCTTGGCAGCATCTCCATCAGCTCCTAGCTACGACAGGCGGCAGGAATGTTGAAGTGACCATCACTCTTTTCCGCACTGCTGCGTCCTGTCATTATTTTGCCTGTCACTCAAGTGAGACCATTGTCCGTGCGTAATTTCGAATAAAAATGAACACGGCGCTGACGTGGCGGCGCTGCTGCTGCGCAGGCCTGCGACGCAACTTGTCGCGTACAACAGCGACGTCACACACGATTCCTGCTCTTGCCACTAGCCGCGAGAAAGGTCTTGCCTTCGAGATGCAGGTCGTGGCTATCATGCGTTCGCTCAAGTGTGAGCTCCAGCCAACGCAGCAGTCCCAAGACGGCGGTATTGATCACCGGGTATAGATGAAATAATGTACTGATTTAGTAGAAAAGAAATCGACATGTCACCTTGTCGAGCGATTAAGCTCATGGTATTTTTGCTACTTTGTCGTAGGGATTGTGGACACTACCAGACATGGAAGTGGATGTAGTAACACAGTGCAAGAACGAAAGCAACCGCGTGGGTGTCAAATACATTCGGGAGTTCCACGGAGTGCTACAAAGCGCTTTCCCACCGACAACCGTGGGACTCTTTGCCTCGGCGTCAGGCTTCAGTCTGTACGCTCAGCGATTTCTACTCCGGATGACCCATCCCGCAATACTATGTACTGTCGACACGGACCTCGATCGTCTCACGTCTTTCCAACTGAACGATCGGGCCCAGACGTTGCTACCAAAGCTCACGGTCGGTTCATTGTTCGTGCGTCAGGAACATGCTCTCGTGCTCACGTACGGCAACGTAATCCTCGGGTGAAGACGCAGCAGTTTCATTTCATCCAATAGAGCTCCAGGAGCGTAAACATTTCAGTCCACACCGACCGCCGCAATAGCTGCTACTCCACTGTGATTGGTCAAGCCATTTCGCTGATGATCTGATTCGTCCGTTGCTGTGGACTAAAATCAATTACTCACAGACCCGCCCATATCCCCTACCGCCAGCTGTCGTACCGTCGTCATCCAGTCAGTAGCAGCTCGCCAAGTATCTCTCACTGACTTTCTCACTCTCATGGCTACGTCGCTGGACCTCGCTGGTCTGCAATTCATGGCTCAGTCGTTCCGCAGCAGCTTCCTCGTCCAGGCGCTGATTGTGCTCGTGCTCGGGGTGGTACTGCGCTACGTGATCATGGCCTGGCGCGCGGGTCTCGAGCCGTACGAGGTGGAGACGTGTCCACCCATCAACCCACACGTGCATTATCGCTACGGGGTGTCGCAGATGCAAGGGAGACGGCCGTACATGGAGGACCGCCACACGGCTGTGGCGGACCTAAATGGAGACCCCACGCAGAGTTTCTACGGCATCTTTGATGGGCACGGGGGCGACGGGGCAGCAAAGTAGGAGAGCGATGATAAGTGCTTGACGGACTACTGGCGCTTACTTCAATGTGCTGCTGCAGTTATTGTGTACAGGCTATGTGTCAGAATGTGATCCGAGAGCCGTCGATCACGAAAGAACCGGCGGAAGCGCTGAAAAGCGGTTTTTTGCGAACGGATGAAGAGGTTTGCTTGCCTTTGTGTATCCAATTATATGTTTTAAAAATAGGTTGGAGTGCTGGACTAAAGCAGGTTACTTTTACCTATACCTTCTTGCAGTATTTGCAGATTGCCAATGGCAAAAGCTCCGAGGATGGAACGACGGCGGTCGTGGTGTTTACACAAGGCAACGAGATGTTTGTGGCACATGCAGGAGACTCTCGAGCTGTGCTGGTGCATCGCAGTGGCGACGTGTCGGTGTTGACTTCAGATCACAAACCGAACCGACCAGATGAGCGCCGTCGGATTCAAGAGCTAGGAGGGTCGGTCGTGTTTTGGGGCGTATGGCGCGTTGAAGGTATTCTTGCCGTGTCTCGAGCGATTGGGGACCGTATGCTTAAGCCACTCGTGGTAGCCGAACCCGAAGTAAAACAGCTGACGCGAACGAAGGAGGATCAGTATTTAGTTTTGGCAAGCGACGGTGTCTGGGATACGGTCTCAAATGAAGAGGTGGCGCAGCTGGTGCTTAAATACGAAGACCCGCAGACAGCAGCACAACATCTCATGGAAGAGGCGTATGCGCGAGGCAGTATGGACAATATCTGTGTCATGGTCATTGATTTGAGGGTCTGAGTGTGTATCTTCCTTGTACATATATGTAAGCTTTTTAAAGGTGAACTGTTTTGTTTTGATTGGTGCAAAGTAGTAATAAGACAACGTGCGAGTGTCCCGCATAAGACAAAAAATGTTTGGTAATACAGATAGACGATAGCCAAGTGTTTACAATTGCGACGCAGCATTTGGCAAATATTAACTGATGTGTATGAAAGTACAGGACCTGACCATTATTTATTTATTATAAGAGAGGTCTCGATGAGAAACAAGATGTTTGTCAAAAGGATAAGATGGTCATGCAGTTGTTAAAAAGTAACGATCACGACTAATTTATACAAAGTGAACGCACATGGCAACTGTCGCGATCGTGCAAGTGGCATGTTTAAACCAGTGTAGTGATTCATCATACCGTATTACCGTGGAATCGAAGAGGCACTGGCAATATGCAGTGTTCTGTTTGAATCACAAGCGTTCTTTTTGCAACCTGTCGGTTCGATTTTCGATTCAGCCTGCTTTAGTGATCTTCACAACATCTTTCTCGCACAGGTGGAATCCGTGCACGACTGAACGTCCACCGAAATCACCATCGGAAAGCGTTAATACGTACTGTCGAAATGTGTTTTTACACAAAGCTGCTAAATTTACGGCGCAAAACGATACGCATGGGACTGTAAGACATTACTGGAGCCATAACGACTGCCTCAGAAGATAAAACGATCGTTAGACTGCCATAACAGCTTTAATCATATCAGTGGATGAGAACGGCTCTCAGATGATTAAACTTATTTTTTCGCGCTGCAAGTGCAGCTTAACCTAAAAATAATGGAATCGAGTTGGCAGGTGGACTACGCATAACAAGTGTTCAAATTGTCATCACAGAGCTACAACTGAAAACGTCAAACCCTTAGCTGTGGAAGCGCCAGCGAAATTGTCCTCGTTTGATAACGTACATAAGTGGTTCATTGTATGATCTATGCTATGCTCGCAACATTGCTTATACATCGTTGACCAGCATCCTTTTAAAGAAGCACAATGGCTTCTCTTTTGTCGTGCAAACCACTGCGCAAATCAGTTTTTCATCCAAGGCCCCCTTGCTTAATGCATGAACGTACTTATTCTTGCCAGGCTCAACGCGGTTTACCGCTGGCATGTGAATGAGGTGATCGCACCAAAAACGCACATGATGATGATCTTTCTTGAAAGATAGTCACAAGATTGATATCAGGTTTCCTCAGTTCGACTAAGGCAATTTTTGTTTGTTAAGCGGGAAGGCACAGCTGCCCTTATCCAGATACATTGAAAATACTCAAGCTGCGCTCACATTGTTATAGTCCGTAACTTTTGATGAGGGTGCAGTTGAGCAGTTGCACCCACAAAAATAGGCACCTCCTGGATCAGTATGTGTAGTGTGTAGACTGTAAAATGTGCATGCGTACATTATTTTCAGTAAAAAAGATTCTGTGTCGAGCTGTAGCACCGAAAAGGTACATATTCACCACTTGCGCCGTGATGAAGCATACCCACTGTGTGATCCCAACTGAATCTCATTCACTGATTTATGAGCAAAAAACGCCTCGCACCATTCACGTAATACTTTAGCCGCAAGACGAAATCCTTTACTTGCATTGCGTTATCGTACTATTCTGAAAATGGGCAAGCCTTATCGATAGGCTTGCCCTGGCGGTAGGATACATGTTGTCCGGCGTCGAAAAGGACGTTTGCAGATTTTCTCGATATTACGTGCCCCTGGTAGCTATGGCATCAGAAGAATTGCTGGAGGAGGTGACAACGTCGCGTCTCACACGTGTGGTGACGCATCCATCTCTTATGGTTATCAGCATAGCTAACTCCGGACTTCCATTTCGATCAATTACGCATATCGTTGTAACCCAGGAATTTTCTTCATAGTTGAAGTTGCACATTGCTCGTTCTGCCTGAAAATAATGTGGTAATAACGATCACGCTAGACTTTGCATCAGCTAGCTCCCCGTTTGTGAAAGCTGGTCATCGATTCTCGTTCTAGGATCATTTAGATAGCAGGCCCTGATGCATTGACACTTTCCCATAGAATGCGACTCGTTTGGCACGGTTGACGAGCCTTGCAATGGTGAGTGTTCTTTCGGTGAACTATATTCCAACTGACACCGGAACGTGCTGGTGCTTTACAAAAATGTGGAAATCATTTCCTGATAAACCGGGTCGATGTGATGTAAAGGCCTGGTAGCGATACCCAACAAGTCAATTTTGATGATAGCGAATTCAGATACTCACTCGGAGCAAAACTCGCTGCGAGGTGGCTAAGTATACACAGCTGCCCCCTGATTAGGCAACGTTGGAGGACTACTTTTTGTGTCAGCCTTAAAGATGTGACGAATCTATGGCCTGATTGTTCGACCACAATTTGTATCGATCGAACGCCTGTCGTGCCAAGCTGGTTGACGTGCGATACAAATACAACGATACACCTGATACGGAGCGTCGTGATACGACACTGTCTGAGCGGGTAAATCATCCAGTGAATCAGGTTGCGATCTGGTAGGCAGCGGTTTCGTATTTATACGCCGCATCATAGCCAGTACGATAAGTAGGTGAAAGGCGTGTGTTATTCGCTCTCTGTAATATGTCATCGAGGGTTTACGACATCTTTCGCAGCCATGACCACAACACGACTCCACTAAGTTATGCTCGCTTACATCTGGCAATACATGACCTTCCTTACATTTTGACTTGCAATTTTACAACAAGTGATTGCAACCTGCAACTTCAACCCGGGTGTCTGCGATGTCATCAGCATATGCACTATCACAGTGCATACCTCTGTACCCCCGAAACGACGAAATAAGCAGCAGCAAACGAGTCTTCGTTAAAAAACCTCGCGCATCTTCCCGACCGAGTTATGCCACTACGAGGGTCTAGTCACCAGCATAGGTGCGTCACACCGCGATCCAAAACACGACACAACCCGTTTCAGTCCCCTAGATCCAAAACGCCCCCGCGTCCGGCAACTTCAACAAGGCCCAATCAATCCCACACACCCTCCGCATCGTCATAACTCAAGTTGCCGGCGCCAACCAAGACGGGACCATCACTCCACGAACCACCATGTCCCCCACCATCACTCCTGCGCCTCCTCCCGCCTTCCAGCGTCTGCCTTCGTCCGCCGTCCCGCAAAAGTACCACATCAACTACGAGCGCATCGACCTGCTCAACTTCCGCTTCGAAGGCTCCGAGCGCGTCCTCGTGCACGTGACTGAGTCGACGTCCGTCCTCACGTGTCACGCCGTCGAGCTCCACGTCTTCCACGTGTTCGTCGATGACGTCGCCTCGCCGTGGCGCACCCAAGAAGCGACCGCGATCCACTCCAACCGCCTCGACGACACGATCGCGTTCCACTTTGCCGAGCCGCTGCGTGCCCACGCGTCCGTCACGCTCCGTCTGCAGTTCCGCGGCGTCCTGAACGACCAGTTGCGGGGCTTCTACCGCACCGAGTACGAGGCCAACGGCGAGCAGCGCGCGCTCGCAGTCACGCAGTTTCAAGCGTGTGACGCGCGCCGCGCGTTCGTGTGCTGGGACGAACCGGCTCTAAAAGCCACGTTTGAGATCTCCATGGTGACGGACACGGACGTCGTCGCCTTGTCGAACACGCACGTGGTCGAGACGGTCACGCGGCCACGGGCGAACGCGCATCTCTGGCACGAGACGCGCGCAAAGGACGAAGTAGATGGGACCCTGGAGAAAGTCTGGACGTTTGCCGAAACGCCCGTCATGTCGACGTACTTGGTCGCGATGGTTGTCGGTGAATTTGACGTGCTCTCGGACGTGACGAACGAAGGCGTGACGGTGAGCGTCTACACGGCGCCTGGACAGAGCGCGCGTGGCTCGTTCGCGCTGGACGTTGCCGTCAAGGCCTTGTCGTTCTTTACCGAGAGCTTTAAGATCCCGTATCCGTTACAGAAACTCGATATGGTGGCAATCCCGGACTTTCTAGGAGCGATGGAGAACTGGGGACTCGTGACGTATACGGAAACGTATTTGTTGGTGGACCCGAAGCTCAGCAGTCACGAGATCAAAGCTGATGCAACGCGTGCGATCTGTCACGAACTGTCGCACCAGTGGTTTGGCAATTTAGTGACAATGACTTGGTGGACAGGGCTGTGGCTGAATGAAGGATTCGCTCAGTTTATGGAGTTTGACGCGGCTGATCACCTTTTCCCGCAATGGAAGTTGTGGGAGACGTTTGTGCAAGACATTACGCTCCGATCGGCCTTTGTGAAGGATGCGATGGTGTCGTCACACCCGATTGAGGTGGTGGTGAATCATCCGGATGAAGCTGATGAGATCTTCGATGCGATCTCGTATAATAAGGGATCAAGTGTCGTGCGGATGCTATCGGAGTATCTTGGTCGCGATGTGTTTTACCGTGGCGTGCACGACTATCTGTTGAAGTACAGCTACAAAAACGCTGTGACAGAAAATCTGTGGGAAGCGCTGGAAACGACGTCTGGCCAAAAGTTGAAAAGCATGGCGGATACGTGGACGAAGCAGGTCGGCTTTCCGTTAGTGACATTATCGCAACACGACGACGGCAAATGCACACTAGTTCAGCAACGGTTTTTTGCCGATACGAGCTTAAACAGGACAGACAACACGTTGTGGGATATCCCCCTGACTCTTTGTACGTCGGAGGACCCGAGCGCTATCAAACGCCTTGGGATTTGGAGTGCGAAAACGTCGTCTCTACACTGCTCGACGACGGTCGAGACACCGTTGGTAGCGGGTGATGACATAAATAGTCAGATCAACGTACCAGCAGGACCAAAGGGCTGGATCAAGTTGAACCCGAACCAGACGGGTTTCTACCTCGTGAACTATTCTCCGGCACTGTGGAAGCGTCTCGAGATTCCTGTGAAAGAACGGCTACTCGGCGTTCCTGATCGTGTGAGCCTGTTGAATTCAGTGTTTGCGTTTGCTCGCTCGGGGGTGCTGAGTCTGCCAGACGCTTTGGACTTTACGAGCGCGTACGTCGACGAGACGGCGTCTTTGTGCTGGAAAGAGATCTCGCGCAACATGGGATATTACTCCAACTTGTTTAGCGACGAACCGTTTTTCCCAATGTTTCAACAGTACGTGCGCAATCTGTTTGCACAGGTTATGTCGCGATTGGGTTGGGATGCTGATCCATCGAAACAAGCTGACGCTGACGAGGGCGAGTTCCGCAAAACAGTCATCTATTGCTTGGGTCTTGCCGATGACAAGGATGTGATTAAGGAAGCGAAGAGGCGCTTTCACGCATACATCGGAGGTGATTTTACTGCACTTTCGGGCGATTTGCGTCGTGCCGTGTTTGACATTGAAGTTACGTCCGGCGATGCGTCCAGTGCCAAGCTGCTGCAAGAATTGCACAACAAGAGCGATTTTGCGGAGGAACGCGACGACTGTCTTGCTACGATGGGATCAGTGGCTGATGCATCGGCCAAGCTCCAGGTTTTAGAGTGGGCGGTAGAAAATGTGCGATCGCAAGGCATTCATCACCCCTTCATCAGCGTGGCAAGCGACAAAGTTGGAGCCGAAGTAGCGTGGCAGTATGTACAAGACAAGTGGGACTTTCTGGTCAAGAAGTATTCGGCCACGACCCTAGGGATGATTGTGTCTGGAGCCGTCTCTTGGTTTCCAACCGTGGCGATGGTTGAAGAGGTAGAGGCTTTCATGGTAGACAAGGACACGTCGGGATACAAGCGTCGCCTTGATGTTGCTCTAGAGACAGTACGTCTCAAGAGCGCCACGTTTGGTCGTGACCGCGAACCCCTGGCAAAGTGGCTGGAGAATCGAGAAGCAAGGTAGCTTGTGGCAATGATCGATAGCTGTATACTAACGAAATGCTTGGCTTCACGATCTCCCGTCACTCACGTCAGGCCAGTATAGGATGCAAGCACTGCTGCCGCAACCAAGGATGTCGGCTATGACGCGTTTCGTAGTTTCTGCGGCTTCGACAGCTTTCTCATACTCGCAAAAGCTGCAATATTGTCGATGCGCTCGTGATTGTGTTGCGTCGACGTACAGCAGCATGCTTTCCCGCCCTCCCGTACGATGATGCACACGAACAAAAAGACAAGCATGTGTGTGCTTGTGAACACCTTGACCTTCCGCCCTATACTTATCTCCCCGGCTGCGACCAAGCCACACGGTTTTTTTGCTTCGACCTACCGACTTTGCTTCGAAGCGACTCGACGCAAAAACCTTCTACATTCGCAGCTTTCTGTACAGAGATCTGTTTTACAGTGACTTGTGCATCATCGAGAGTATCGTATGCATCCTCCAGAGCAAGTGCTGCAAAAAAGACATCAAAATAATGTTCACCAAGGTATGCGGTTAAAATACTGATGAGTGTTTTGACTGCGTGTTGAGGGTGAGCATACCGGTTTCGCCGTGGCTTATAGAACGCGGTTTAATGCTAAAAATTGTTTTAATAAGTGCTTTTTATATATTGGCCAATCGCCGTTGGGTACTTTATGAATACTACTAGTTTATGGGGGGGGACAGTAAAACGCGGATTAAAGGATGGCCATTCCCCAATACACATCACGGAAGCGTGCATGAATCTCCGTCAATGTCTAGCAATCAATAGACACAGATCGACAAGGCACTTGCGGCCCCTCCGTGGAGACTATTAGGTCTGAAAACATTTGACGCAATGACTGTATCTACATCTAACTGACCTTGCCACCATAGGAAATGGAGGAAGTATGTTCTCCAAAATGCCGAGCATTTATCTCCGTCATTGATGTAGATAGGAACGAAAAGCACACGCTAGGTGTCAGACAATTCACGACTTCATGTCGAGCGCACTTCTGCAAAAGAACCATATTTACAACTTCGCGTGCTTCTTCGCGTCCTCTGTCACAGTCAAGTTGTTCAACTGAAGCTTAGTTGCCAGCGCGTGCGACCGACAACGTTCGCATCATAGTATTATGCTTGAAAAGGGCCTACATAACGATGACCAAGAAGCGAATCAACAACTGACGCGAGTTTACCAAGTATGTCGCGATCCCCTACCAGTACGTTTGCCATCACAACACAGAATGACAGTGGAGAAGTGATCCGATGCTCGTCAGTGCACGTCACCATCAACAAGCCCGTAGTGCATGTGACTGGTATACGCCGGTCAACCTATGCTGCAGCATTGATTGATTAAATCACGTCATTCTGCGTCGAGTACACGGGCGGATGCCGTGGCTCGCCCCGCAAATTACTGATTGCTTCTCGAGTACATGTCTTTAACCCGTCGCAACTTCTGCATACCAACTGAAGACCTCCGGTGATGACCCTTTTTCTATTGAGGACAACGCAAAAATGAATGCACGTTAGCAAGCACCCTCGAATTCTACTTACGAACAAGTTGCGCAATCGCTTGTCATGGGTGTGGTCCAGCACCGATAGAATCGTACGGTTGATGCCGCTAGGTCAACTAGGTACTTCGTAAAGCCAAACACGGACACTTGGCGAGAAGGCCGAGCAATATTAGCGCATCACTTCGGTCCAAAAAACGCTGAAACTGGTGACACACATCCGTATAGAGGGAGCGTGTTAGAGCACACAACTACGATGTTTGTTGTAGTATGCATGCCTCCACTTTTTCCAGCTGCTTGCTTAGGTTAATGAGTCGCTCGCCGTCCGTCGACTTCGGACTATGGCAAATAGGTACACGTGGATTCGATCTGCTGTCAAGCGTACCAGCAACATCTTCATCGATTACCAGCTGCTGTAGACGGACAGGATTGCTGATAAGGCTGCAGATTGTCCTCGACAATATGGAAGCTTCGACTTGCAAACTCAAGCACTCCTGCTTTGCATCGACGACCCAGCGAGGCTGCTTTTTCGACCCGTCGTAGCGACGTGAAAGTTTGTCAGCGACTCTTTGTTGCAATTCTTGGAACTTTGCAAAAGTCCAGCCCCATCGCTTTGACACCGACTCGATCTGAAGAAGATGGTCAGCCACCCGCTGAGTATCTTCACTCCTGATTCGGTTGTTGCATTCTAGTCTTTTGGATGTTGCCGAAAGGAGACGGCGTGTTTCCTGGAGCTGCTCCATCACAGCTTGCCTAGCCACATCCAATGAGCTGGAGACTTCAAGCCGCTGAGTACACTTTCGGACATCGTCGTCTCGAATGGCAAGGGCCGATTTGCAAACTCTAGCAGCTTTCAACAGACTGCGGTTCTCGCGATACGTCGCTGTGTAGTTCCGGTAGCACTCTCGTAAATCTTCAAGTAAAACGCGATTGCGATCATTGAGATCGACCAGGTCCTTTTCGGCGTCCTCACCCACACCAAATAACCCAGTGATAACAGCTTCGTCAGCACTCTTAGTCCATGACCAACCAGTCAGTCATCGCTCGAATCCCACATACCTTCTTGTCATTCTTCAGTGCACGAATATCGCCTCTTGCCTGGCGCAATTCCTCGTTGACAATCGCCTTTTCAGCTTCCACGTGCTGCAGATCTTTTCTAACCAGCAACATTTCTCGCTCGTGTGTCACGCGCTGCTGATCGCAACGGTGCGTCCATGCCTTTTACACCAGAGACAGGCTCAGCCATAGACAAGCTAACGTTGCAAAACCCACACGAACTTAACCATCGACAAGCTAACGTTACAAAAGACCTCGTCCAACTCTTTCCGGAGCTCATCGCGCTGCCGCCGCCCCTGAGTCTCCAGTTCGTACATACGGTGCAAAACGGTCTCGTAGTCACCTTTGAGATCGCGCATGGCTTCCCTTGCTCCCCTGAGATCGGTCGACAATTGATCAACTTGTTCCTGCAAACTACTGGCGTCTGAAAAGCTCTTTTCTCTCTGCTTTGTCATCGCGTCCAACTGATCGCGGAGTTTCAAGCAGATCCGTTGGTACTGCTTGATTGCAGTTGACGACGATGCAACAGCACAGCTGTCCTGTTTCTGTTCTTCCGGCGATGACGGCGCTCGATCTCCTGCAGCCTTTGCTGCTTCTACTTGGGCCTTGAGATCGTCCACGACGCGGGTAAACTCTAACGTACGCTGACGGAGCTCGTGCTCACGCGCGTTCAGCGTAACGCGCAGCTCGGCCAGTTCCACGAGTGCCTCGGTCTTTGTAGAGTCTTCTCCTCCTTTAAACAGCAGCAGCTGCTCTTCCAGGTAATTGATCCGTAGCGCCATGTTGAACGCGTCGCGGACTTGCTGCGCTTGCTCGGCCGCCTCCTGGCGCAATAGTCGTCCTGGCGGTCGAGCAGCCGCGCTGTCTGCGCTGTTACAAGTGCTGCCACGAAGCGACGAGACGTCGTCCATTGGAACAAATTGAAAGTGAGCGAGGGAGGGAGGGAGCGAACTTGAGTGCGGAATGGACCGTCCTTTCTTGCCTCATTCCGGCTTCACGAGTGCGGAATGGCGTGCCGGTTGAAGCGCGCGAGAGTGATGGTCACTTCAACATTGCCGCAACAGGGATGGGATCTCGTGTAGCGTACACAATCTAGAGCCAACCCCGTTACCACCATGTCAAGCACTGGGAATGGCGAGTCCAGCCGCGAGGCGCACGCGTATTTGGGCGCGCTAGAGACAGTAGACCACCGTCAGCGCTCTTTCTACCCTGACTATAAGCTCCTGTTGCTACCGCTGATTTATCTACCGGACATTGTGCGTCAGAGGTGTCTGCGAGCCATGCTATCGAGAAGGTCACTAACCCTTTACCTGTCGAGATGCTCCACAGGTTTTGTTCCCAGGTGACGACCTACCGCTTCGGATGCTGCCGGAATCGCTACTCGGTGGCATCCGAGACCTGATATCAAGGGAAGGCTCGCTCTTGGCGGTGCTGCCTCCCCACCAGACGCGGCCGCACTATGGCGTGACGGTTCAAGTCGAGCGCTTTAGCGTCGAAGACCACGGTGCACGGATGACTGGCGCCGCGCGGCAGCGGTTCCGGCTCAAGAAGAGGCTGCAAGGTGACCAAAATGCTGGCATTTTCTATGGCGAAGTCGAGATCTTGCCGCAAGACCGCGCGCCGTCGATGCCCTTTGATCATTTGTGCTGGCAGCGGCAAGTGGACGATATAAAAAAGGGCCCAGACACTGTCCGACCGAGGAGTCTGCAACGACTGCGGGGGCGGCAGTTCCCAGCGTACTATGGCCGCGCGACCTACGCGCTGTACGATGCCCGAGTGCTCGTGCACCGGATCCAGCACATGTTGCTGACGAATATGCACGGGGAGTGGTTCCGCAAACCATGCGGGACGGACGTACCCGCTGAGCAAGAGAGCAGCAACGAGCAGGAGACGAAAACGTCGCTGGTGCAGTATTTGTCGCTCCCGAGCGACCGACAGGACCCGAATCTGTTTGCGTTCTGGGTCGCTCGGAACTTGCCGCTCGACACAGCACAGCGACTGGAACTCTTGATGATGGACTCGACGGTGAGGTTGCTACGGCGAGAGATTGAGCTACTGGAGCAAGTTCAAGAGGATATTCTCTGTTTCTACTGCGGCGCGTTCCTTGCCAACACGCGGGACATTTTCAGTATGACAGCGCGCGGTGCAGCAGGCGGCACGTTTGTCAATCCGGGAGGCCACGTCTTTCAAGTGTTGACGCTGCGCGAGGTGGATCGTGCACATGTGGTTGTCGACATGTCTCGTCGGACTGAAGACACGTGGTTTGTAGGTTATGCCTGGAGCATCGCGCATTGCAACGCTTGCTACCAACATCTGGGGTGGCGGTTTGACCGAGTGGATGCTGCGCGCTCACCTGCTACTTTTTTCGGATTCCGGCGGACAGCACTCACTCGATCCCGAGACTTGCGACAAGTGGATCCTCGATCTCTGCACTTGGATGGGTACGATACAGACGACTTTGACGTATCCGTGGCGTCGAGCGACGGCAGCTCAACGACCGCTATTAGCGAAGAACTGTCGTTGCTGTAAAGGTGTTGTACTATCCAGCAAAGAAGAGCGAGAAACAAGCGACGAACAAACGCAGCTCCAGTGTCATGTTTAGTGTTATTTCCTTTACTGCAGCAGCAGCAGCGTTTGGCAACAAGCAGTATACACAGGAGCTTGTCAAGCCAGCAGCACACGATCGCGCAGGAGTTTCACTCAGTTGTCCGCGACGATCCACGTGTCGAGCGCGCGGTCGTAATTGCTCATCTCCGCAGCAGTGAACCACATGGAAATCTCGTGCTTGGCCGAGTCCGGGCCATCCGAGCCGTGCACGAGGTTGCGGCCCGTGGAAATGCAGTTGTCGCCACGCAGGGTGCCAGGGGCTGCCTGGTTCGGGTTCGTGGCTCCCAAGATCTTGCGACCCGTGAGGATCACGTCCGTGCCTTCCCAGACCATGCAGACGATGGGGCCCGAGGTGAAGTAGTCGACGAGACCGGGGAAAAAAGGGCGCTCCGACAGGTCGGCGTAGTGCGCTTTCGCACGCTCTTCCGTGGCCGTCATGAGCTTGAGCGCGACGAGCTTGTACCCCTTTTTCTCGAAGCGAGCGATCACTTCACTGATGAGGCCGCGCTGCACGCCGTCTGGCTTGATGGCAATGAACGTGCGCTCCTTCGAGGTGCCAGGCACGCCAGCGTGAGGCGTAATGGTCGGGTCGCTGGTGCCCTTGTTCTCGGCAATGGGCATGGCGGTTAGTGCGAAAGCCGCGACGCCAGCAGCTGCAGCGACGGCCAGAGCAGCGGGTGCTTTGATCGACGACGCGGCGCGGGATTGCGTGGCGAAGGTGCGCGTGGCGCTGCGCTTGGCGGCAGAAGCGATGCGGGAGGACACGCGGGTGAACATGCTCGGGGTCGGAAGGAGAATCTGAAAGTGTGACGTGCGAAGAGTGACGACCGTCGACTTGCGATCGCGCGGTGTTGTCAAGTGAGTTTTCTGAACCTCTAAAAGACAGTACTGGGATTCGTGGTCCAAGCTCGTTGATCGGTAGCCAAAGATATGCATAAAAGCATGGTCAAAAGGAGCTGGTGAAGTAGCTTTTGCGTCTTTATTTCGCACCACACGTTTTGGCTTTGGCTTCAGCTGACAGTTCTAAAGTCATGAAATGCCATTTATGAGATTGGAAGTGTTTGAAGTAGCCATTTTTTGCCAGCATGCTAGAAGGTGACTGTAAACCTTATGTCACGGATATAGAGTGCTACGACTGATCGATTGCGTCCAGCATCATCCAGTCGATTGCAGCAGGTTACTTGGATATTGTTGCTGGTCATTATTGAAAAGGAGTCGAAAGGCTGATGTTACGCTCTCGAATCAGCTCAAGCCAAAATATAATCAACACGCCTAATCTAGGAACGGGTTTTTTGCGTACTCACAAAACATATCGCATACTCGCTGCGACAGCGTTTTGCAATCACAAACTTGTTGCTTTTCTATCAGGGAACTACTGATCTAGTCACACATTACCTCCTGAACCCACAATCTGCTCGTTGATTTCAAATTTACACCCCTGTTCCCTTTTTTCGTACCTTTTCCACAAACAACCACTGTGGAATTTACTGTTTTCCCACCAATAGATCCTGAAAATGTTGTAGGGCTAGTCGTACATACCACGTGAAGCGGGGAAACCCAGCAGTTGTTTGTTTGTGGTGTGCAATCCATAGGAACGTGATGGTGCGCACGGCAAGCCGAACGCTAATTTAGTGAGTAAAGCCAGAAAGCATGCGGTCGAGCTCATATCTTCTATGAAAAGGTGAGTACAAATCGATGCTTCCACTTGATCGAAATGGATTGGAAAGGTGTATCTCTCTCTCTCTTTAGTAGGAATGCCTTGCCGCGCTTTTGCGAGTCCGTTGTACACTGTCACTAGTACCGCAACGTGCATCATTCAAAAACTGTTTTATACCAGTAAAGAAGTGTTTGACTACTTGAGCCTGCCCCATTGGCAATTTCTCGGTAAGTTGAACCGGCCGGTATGATGGAGTGACGGCTCTAGCTTGTAGATGTACTCCAGTATTTTCAACCTTCACTTATTCGGCTCATCGAGCTTATTTTGCTCTGGAGCGAAGGGCAATCGACCCTGCGTATCTGGTCTTACATTGGCGTAGATCTATAGTGTTTGCACATTTACAGCACCCTGGTCCACAGCATCCTTGAGTTACTACTGCTAGATAACTTTGTTTCGGCGGAGGAATCATCTGGTGTGTGTGTGATCATGACATGGACTAGGACTGTCGCATGCGAACGGTGCGGAAGAAGATCGATACGACGCTCAACAGCGCGAGAGGAGATCAAGCCATAGCAGCTGTGATACTTGCGTGGGGCTTAATGCAATAAAGTTAAGAACAATTGGTAAGAGCAGTAGGATATAAAGAACTGGTACGCATGGGATGCTTCGCTACCTAAGTAGCGACGTCAATAAATTGTGTGAAAACTACGTACGAGCAGTGTGTCCATGTCGAATTTGGCAGAGAGGGAGAGTAAATGGCAAAGAAAAGGGTATCACCAAACGAATCTCAATTCCCGTTCATGATTGGTGGATAGAAAAAACTCGTCACAAGAGCTGGCAAGTCGATACCGTGTCCATTTTGCTATTGTTGTTGTACCCACAGATCCAATGAGCCAGACGAAGGACACGACGAAGCAGCAGGCGGCAGCAGCAGCCGCTGGCTCGGACGATGAGGAGGAGCTGCAGACGCAGAAGGCGAAGAGCGATAACGACGAGAACAGCGCAATGGAGAAACTCACGGACCTCGTGGAGGAGAAGCAAATGGACGGGAACAAGATGAAGCTGGCGTTCCAGGCGCTGTGTAAGCAGGAGGAAGCCCATAAAGAGGCGGAGCGGCTGCTGGAGAAGAAACTGACAGCAGTGAAAGTCCGTACCGACGATGTGGCGCTCGTGGCTCAGGAGATGGAGATCTCGACGCAGCAAGCAGACCGCAAACTGCGCGAAGCCGACGGCGACGTTGTCAAGTGTCTGCATGCGCTCGTTGCGGCGTAGTGACTCGGTAGGTAGAGCGCTCTAGTTGGAAAGCAGTGGACGCGCTCTGTCGTTCGGCACTTGTCGGTTGGCGGACGACGAAAGAGACTCGGCGTGGGGAATGATGATGACGATGCGCTTTGCTCACGTGTTCTGCGCAGCTGGTCCATTATGTGTTGGTCAACCCTTGAACAGGTCCTCCAGTCAGTCTGTACATCGCGAACGGGATCTCAAGCTTTCAAAAGGTCGCGAGATCCTCTGTCGAGGATATGCGGCATGCACGGAAACCTCCTTCGAGCCCTGCGAGGATCCAACAGGTCCGAGTACTATATCGACAAAGGAGGAGAGGGACGCTGGACCATTTGATTCATCACCCTCTCCGTCGTTCTACTACTTGCTGACTCACACGCGACAGAGTAGCTTGCTATTCATTGTTCGACACATGTCATTGTCGTAGCGGGCACAGCGATTGAATCCGTGGTCAGCTTGCATTCTGTTGCACGTGAGAAACGATGTGGACGCTACAAGTGTGTACCTCTGTCCATTACTGTGCCGTGGTCAAGTCAGCAGATCGAGGTGAGATGCACCGATCTGATGAGCTTAATGATAAGCAATAGTCTCCCGATGAGCAGTTAGGTAGCCGCTCAGATGAGCGTCCACTCGCATTTGTTGGCGTTCTATAGGTTGGTATAGAACACTAACCAGTCAAGGTGAGCACTTGCCAACAACTTGCTTGCAATACGCAGATGATGCGTGCAATAATGGTGACACGAATGCCTGGCCGTCGAGAAAACTCGAGTATAGGCGGCTGGAATGGACGCGAGGGGATGGTGTCTACGGACAGCCTTAGCCTGAGGAAATGTGGTGCTTTGGGCTTCCGCTTTGAGTGGTTTACAAGCCCATTTATCGCGTTCCTGATGATACATTGCACGGTGCAGAAGTCGCAGTCGAGATGAAGGTAGCACGATGGCAAAGAAACCGATTTACTCGGGATGAAGGCACGAGAACAGCGTCACCCCAGCTTGAGATTGCTGAAGTCTTCCGGCCAGAGCTTGCGTGACAAACGACACGACGCTCAACTTCATCGACGAGCAAGCCCTACCAGCTTCCCACGTATCTGACTCTATCCTCAACCCAGCAGAAGAGCACGATAAACCCCAAGGTACTCTCCCCTCCCTCCTTCCCCCTCCACACCCCACCTCATCACTTCATGCGTCCCCGAGGCCGTCGTCGTCGTCGTCCCTCCTGCTCTTCCTCCTGTCTCTCGAACGCCCAGTCCACATGAAGCACACTGCCCAGCATGTCATGTCCGTCCAGACGTTCGATCGCCGCTTTGGCGTCTACAAAGTGCTCGAACGCCACCAGCGCATAGCCCTTGACAAACCCCGACCGGCGATCGAGGTTCAAGTGGACAGCAGTCACCTGGGCGTGCTCCGCAAACACGTCCAGCACGTCGTCCTCCTGAGCTTCTTCGTGCACCCCCGTGACGAATACGAGCCAGCCTTCCACAGACCGCAGGGCATTGGCGTGGTCCCGGGTTGCTAGAGCGACTGGAGGGGGTGCCTGGAAGGTCTCAAAGACGCCGCTCTGGGCAGGGTATCGACGGACGTCCATGGCCGCTGCGCCTGATCCACGACCCTTGACGATACGCTTGGTCTCTGGGCGCTGGACTGAAGGCTTCGGCTCTTCGTCCTCCTCTTCCACGGCCATAGCCGTGTCGCTCTCGTAGTCCACCTCTTCCGTCATGTGAAGGAGTGCGCGGGGGGGGGAATGGGGTGATATGATTGGTGGAAAAGCGGGGAGGCGGACAGGAAACGTAACCCAACTGAAGTCGGGCGATGCGGTCGGTTATAGCTACCACGACGAAACGATAATGTGGGTTTTGCTTTTTTATAAATTCGGCTGGTGTTGGAACGAGAAAGTGCTTTTTGGTTTCGCTCGTGTTCGTAGTATTAAATGTTGGAGGGGGCGAGACACGGGGCATCGGCATAGTGAGGAGGACGGAGATATCGGACCTCAGACGTCCCGGGATGTGCGACAACAGTGTGGTAAGCGATGCAAAGGCTCGCCGTTTTTCAAGGCGTCCAGGAGTTTATTGTCTTGGTCTTCGAGCACCTCCGCGCGCGTTGCAATGTCTTGGGCACGGTCAACTGGAATCACCACTACGCCGTTCACGTCGCCTCGGATGATGTCGTTCGGACGGACGACGCAACCTGCGACGAGGATCGTGCGGTTCACGCGGGTGACAGTTGTCGCGCCATACTCGCCCTGGACGGCCGTCCCTGTTGCGAACGCAGGGAAGTTCAAGCTGCACAATTCGCGGACCTGTCGTACCCGTCCGTTGGTCACGACGCCCGCGACGTTTCGAGCTCTTGAGGCAGTAGCTAACACTCTTCCAAACACCGCGGTCGGGCTTCGCTCGGGTGCACTGATAACCACCACTTGACTCGTCTCCACCGCGTCCATGTAGTTACTACTGAAGCCACTCGATATGCACGAGCTAGTGAGTGGCATCACCTCGACCGTGAACGCAGGGCCACAGATATTCATGGCCAGCGGGGTATCGTACCCCCGGACGAGGTTGACGTCTACTAAGCAGTACCCCTGCAGCTTCAGCTGTGCCATGGCGTCTCCAATCGCACAAGTGGACAGCTTCGCCAGGCGCAGCAGGACTTCCGTGCTGTCTTGAGGGGGCTCACTTTCGGACTCCAACATGTTGGTCAGCAGTTGGTGGTCCGACCGTCTCAGAGCGAGCGACTGCGCCGTCTCGACGCCAGGAGCGACCAAAGGGTCGGGACGCGGTACAGAAAGGGGCGGCAATGGACCCACAGCTTCTTCCATCTCTTTGATCGCTGACTCCGTGGCGTCGGGAGCCTCCCTGAACTCTTGGGGCGACTGCACCGGTCCAGCTGGCAGAAGGCTGTCGGCAGCTTTTCGGATGCGCTGATTGGTCTGGAACCCCGGGACGCACGACATCTTGAGGTGCTCGGCCAGTCGAGTGGCGTTGCTCGCGTACTGCTTGTCGCACTTCTTGCACTGGTAGCGGACCAAGCCTTTGTGGTCGGCTTCCGGTTCGAGGCGGACAAAGTAGTCGTACACGTTACTCGGCTTTCGCCCCATGGCTGGAAGGGATGACGTAGTTTACGGGCTGCAAGTTTTAATGACGGAGAAGATTGAGCTCCGGAACGGAGGCGTGGGTGAAGGGGTCGGTCGGTGGGTGAATGGGTGAATGGGTGAATGGGTGCTGTCAGGTAAGACGTTTTTTTGACCAGTCAGCACGAGCATCAGCTGACCGTACAACCTGTCGTACGACATAAAAAAATATCAGCTAATCAACGATGTCAAGTCCAGCCAATCGGTCGTACACTTGACTTCTCAACGAACGACACACCAAGCAAACGAACGTACAAATAACCAGTCTGCTGGACCCTTTTGTCGACAAATTGCGCTCGACTGTTGTCGTGGATGTGTCGCCCCCGTCTTTTCATTCGACAATAATCTCAAACTTGGCTGTTTCTACACGCGTGACGACCATCACCTCCTCCCTAAACCTCCTCCATCAACTATTGGTTGAAAATACGTCCTCGACCAATCCAGCACCACGCACGGCTCGAAGCCATGGCGACGTCGGCGCTCGACGTGCAGCAGCAGCTCTCGACGCTCTCCGTCTGCGCCATCGCAGACGCAATGGCAAAGCTTCAGCTCCAGAGCCATCTCGTGGACGTGCAGCTTGTTTCAAGCTCTGTCGCCTCCTCCTCTTTCGTAGCCACTAGCATTTGTGGTCCAGCTTATCCAGTTCAAGTTGTACCCATTCCAGGCGTCCCCATTGCACCGAAGCAGCCATTTCATTATGTCGATAGGACCGAAGCGGGTCAAGTGATTGTTATCAGTGCCCCTGCTGGTAGCACATCCGGTGTCTTTGGTGGTCTCTTGGCTGCAGCTGCCAAGGCTCGTGGTGCAGTGGCAGTCGTGACGGATGGCCGTGTGCGGGACGTGCAGGAGCTGAACGCTTTGGGATTTCCTGCTTTCTCTATCGGGACGTCCGCGCACGGTCAGCAAGGCAGGACGGTTGTGGCGGACGTGAACTGTCCCATTGTTGTTGCTGGCTGTGTCGTTCGTCCTCGTGATATTATCCGAGGCGATGTCAATGGCGTAGTTGTTGTTCCTCTTGAACATGCTGCTCAGGTAGCTGCTATGGCGGCGAAAATTCAACAACAGGACGAAGAGGTTGCAAAGGCAGTGGAACAAGGCGCTGGACTGCACGAGTCCTTCAAACGCTTTCGCTCGAAGCTATAGAAGGAGATGTTGTTCTAGCTTTGCAACTTTTCGCAACCAGTCGACAATGTATCTGTTGTGTTTCGCCGCTGAAGAGTGATGACTGTGACCTCAACATCTTCGTACTTGTAAATACTGACCTTCCAGTGTTTGCTCTGGACGTGCCTGGAGCTGCGAAAGCGCCTGTTGTAGCACCACGTCGTCGAGCAGACACGTGCGTAGCTCCCTTGTGCTCTGCTGACTTTCGCTCTGTGTGACCAAGTACTGCAGCGCGTCGTCGAGGCAGCCGCGACAGTTGGGAACGCTCACGAGCTCCAGTTCCCGAACAACGACAGCATTCATGTCCATGGCGACAAGCGATGGTGGGCGCAGCTCCAGTCGCGACCTGTCAACAAAAACAACGCAGCCCATGGACTGCACCAGCGATATCGCAAGCTCGGCAGAAGCTTTGGAGCCGATGAGATCCACGACAGCGTCAAGTGCCAGCTCAGTCTGCCGTGCAATCAAATGGTCCATGTCAGCAGGCTCGTGCATATCCAGAGGAGTGACAGAAGCGTACTGTGACCAGATGGTGCTGCTACAGGTGGCTGACGCGGAGAAAACGTGGAGCTTTTGCGCTGGAAACTGCATGTCTTGGTGCAGTAATCTTGTCAGCAAATTGGAGAGGATCGTCGCAGGTCCGTCCGATAAGATCGCAACGTTAGTCACGTGCCGTCGCTGCAACTCACTGGCGATCGAAAGGACGACAGAGACGTCGTCAGCCAGCAGTGCCAGGTCGTCGGGGATACTAGGAGGGACGACAGCCAGGTTCGCGACTGGCAGCACAATGTATTCTGCAAGTGTCCCGCTCGAAGCACCGATGCCAAAGACGCACGAAGAGTTGCAAGTTGATCGTTGAAGTAATGCATCGTCATTGCAATCAGTCTGGCCTTGCTGCTCGTCTGGAGGAAGGAGCGGTCGCATGAGATACGGCGACGCGACGACCCTGTCCAACACCTTGACAGGATCAACCGTCGTGAGCTCTGTCTCTTCCGAAGCCAACGGCCGCAACTCGCTGACGATGCCGACGAAGGATCGACACAAGACTCCGCTCCTGCTCTCGATTGTGCCAGGACACGTCTGCGCATCACAGAGCGAGGCTGCTGCTCGCAAGACACGGACCGTTGCTTCGCCTCCGACTGCAATGTCGCAAGCCATGCGACACCACGAGACGGATCGTGAGTCTTTTTTGCACGGGTGCGTCGCTTTCAGAGCAAGGTTCTGTATTGTAGAACCCCCAGCTGACGCTTGGGTCGTCGTCATTAACTTGTCCTGCATCGCGCGTGGAGCTACGTTAGGAACTGACCAATGGCTGTCACGGCTGGGTTGGGTTCTTTTTTTTTCGTTTGCTTCCTGGTAGTAAGAAGACTGAGCAACTGTTACAGAACAAGGTGTGGTGAGTTCACTGACGACGTTGTTTTGCGTCTGTTTTTTGATGTGACGATTGACAGTTCTCAATCATTTTATAATATTGAATGCCGAGACAACAATAATTGTCGAGACAGAGGACTTTGCGAGCGCACTGAGGCAGTATATCATGTTTATCCATTGCTGGATGCCCCGACCGCAGGGAGATGCTGCAACTTATGGTGGACTGCGATCATGGAGCATTTGTATCTAGTGTAGATACTATCTGCTGGTATGATCGGTTGTTACGCCGTTGTGGTGAGGCGCATGACGACATGGCTAGAGCTGTTCATGGGAGGAGGAAGAGTTGCATAGCTGCTGGATCAACTCGCATTTCTTCTATAGACTTGCCATGTGCTGAAGAGTAACAAGCTAACGCACGTCCTGACGGACGAGATCCGTCTGCCTTCAGCACGACCAGTAAATTGCTAGAAGTGAGCATTTAATAGTACGATGCACCCTACCGTGGGCCTGCAGGAGTCCAAATCCGTTCATTAGAACGTGAAGTTGTGTCGAATCGATCATAAGAGTACTGAAAACCGCATCGCTAGTGACGTGAGCAACCTGATCCATATTTCGTCGCCTTCTCGCTGGTTGATGCCGCTCGTATCGAAAAAGTTGAACGAAGGACACTCATCTGTTGCTCAAGCATCCATCTGGTCGTGTAAGTCCAAGCGCCTTCCTACGAGCAATTACTTCAATCATGTTGACCTGGCTAGCTCCTGGTCTACCATATCAAGTGTTATAGTTGCAGCCGTACAGTTAGTATCCTCCTACTCAACCAGCTTATCAAAATCGGCAGCTCGCGTCAACATCGTTTTACGCGTCTCATTTAGCGCAATAGCGAGCACGAGATATCGGCAATTGCAGCCGTGGCACGTGCTCGATATGTGCCAAACAAACCTCAAAGATCGAGTACTTGTGATATTCGCGTCCGAAGCGGGTCTACGGCCAAGCTGCCGGCTCACGCATTTACAACAATCCGTAGTGCTTAGTCGAACGCACTTGCGCTTCATACAGAGGATCGGCGAATATAACTAGGAACCACGGGTAGTACATAAAGGCACGCGGACGATCCAGTGGCTCAAATAAAGCGGCGACTGGTTGACAGTCGTTGGTTAGTGCATCCATTTTCATTCGTGCACACGAGAGATGGAGTATTATGCATCATGCGCGTCCTTATGACTCTTCGAAAGCATGACATGCTTGCTTAAGCTGCATAAATGGCCACAGCTACGACGGATATGTGCTTCTGAAGTGTCGATTGATAGCCACGCGACGTGAAACAAACACGCCGTAACGCCGTTTGTGAGAGATGGCGCTCTCGTGGGCTGAAGGTGGTGTGATCCGTGCGGTAACATAGTTTTCCGTACAATCCCTCGGGGTCTCTAACGTATGCTGCAAGAACACCCTGCACCGAACACGCGCAGTCCGAATAAGCGCTTTGCAGTATGTGCGCTGAAGCGTTCAAGCACACGAGTAACTGGAAATGTCTGCATGAAGCTGTGCGGCGGGACTTGCGTCAACGACTTCCATTCCAATCACATGTACATTCATGCACATTACACCAACGCTACTCGATTATACAGTCGTAGAGGCCATGTGTACATTGAAGCCTTTGCACGATGACTGAGAAGAAGGAGCTCGACTTTTCTCTTGAAGGTGTCTCGACAGCAGCTCGAGGTCTGCGTGCGGATCACGACGTACGTTACAAAGGTGGTGCTGTTCCTGGATCAGTGTACTTCGAGAATTGACAGTGGGGATATCGATAAAGCGTTCGTCTGTGCAAGAGCAGAGCATGAGGGGTCTATGGTGCGTGCCATAAGCACATGTGCGCTACGCTGCATTTTGGTGCTAGAAAGTCGATCAGCAAGAATTACATAGAGGATCTGTACGCTTTGCTACGACCTGAATGCTGCATCCACTATCGACGAAAGAACGCCAGGCTTGACACACGTACCCTATCACTAGTCGTGATATACCCTCGTCAGCTTTGAATACCCCGTGCGGTTCGATCCGATCGCTGTACGGAGCAAGGCGATTTGTTGTACATCGTCGAAGCAAGTTCCAAGAAGTGTTGCTATCGCTCTGCAGGTGTCTGTATACTCGATACTTACATACATTGATGACGCGTGTAAGTCGCACGAGAAGAATGCTTGCACCGATACAGCACGAAGCGTCCAGCGATTCTCTGATCTCACTGATAGTAATGAGCGTGCGACCACAATCAAGGATATCCTCTTTTGCATACACAACAGACGATCACAATCGCGTCTTGCCATGTTTGTAACGTCTCCATTGACTGTGCTCTATCCAAGGCGCCGAACGCAACGTGAAAGTGTCATGTTGGACCCTGAAGCTGTGGACATGAATCGTTTGACCCCAATGTGCTTTTGCGGTAATACTCACATCCGTTAGAGTCGAGATTCGTCCTCACACATGATGATGCGTTTGGTCTGATCACCTCGCCTCTCACACAAGATATCCAAGAGTTTTTCTTCACAAGTCCTGCATACGAAGTGGATCTGTAGAAATGACGTGCCGGCGGACGTGTTGTGTCGTCCATTGCCACGCCATAGCTTCCTTGCTGTACAACCATGACATTATCAGTGACGGACCCAGTGCGTTGGCATCTGCGAACAACGACGCCATCGGCATGATTTTGCTACGGCTTTGTGCAAGAAAGTGACAACACGGACAACTAGAGCAGTTGTGAGCTAGTACGGAGACACACCTGCTATGAAAATGGCGGCATCTTGGCCACAAAAGTCCACTTCTAGTAACCTCGACTCTCTCCTACTGAGCGAGAGCTTATGTGTTACATGTGATTTGTGTGATATATGTCAAGGTGTAGAATCTCTAGCAAGTTTACCTGATTTGACGGTACATTGGTGTCCGTGAGGTTGGACAGACGTTGTGTGCCACCTGGCGAAGGGCTCACGGAAGTCGTGATCGTTACAAATAATTGCGCAAACTCGGTAATCCTGGACTTCATTGAACACGAAGAAAGAGTCAAGCTGTTATGATGTCTGAGTCTTTTGCTGGCATGGACATAGAGAAGAATGAATCATGGCCTACAATCTGTGCAAAAGTCACGAGCTTTCATACGGAAGTGACTGACCCGGATCCGCCTTCAGAACTGTTGCAACCGTATGCGTCGATGTCAGCTATTGTATGGCAGATCGCAGGGTACTGCATGCGAACGTCAAGTCGTTGGCAATAACTCGTCGTGCAGGTGCTTTATCGCAGCAAAGGAAGATAAAGGTCGATAAACTCCTGATGAATGCCATTCTTCTAGTGTTACACGATGTGTAGCTAAGCTTGCTCATACTTGCCGTACACTTGAAGCCCTTGTATCCTCTATTAGTAATATCCTTCCCAATCAAACGTCGTTAGCCCCAGTCCTTCAGACGTCGAAGGACAGCTAGGTGTGCCAAACCGCACCTATTCACGGAGTGCGTACTCAATCCACCTCAGACGACACGAAAACAGGCCAAAATGGGTCTCCGATTACCGCGCGCGCCCGTGTCGGTAGTCAATACCGGTATTCGTGCCAGCACCGTCTCTGTCCCTATGCTCTGTCGACGCTGGTCTCATTTAGGCGCAGAAAAAGGCCGTCCCGCGCAGCTGAAACGTCAGTTAAGACCTGCTCGTTTCGAGCTGGCCACTTTACATTTTGCCTTCAAAGCCCCACGCATCCACTGTGGTAACATAGACAGACAGGAAGTGGGTAATACACAGAGAGAGAGAGACACACACACACATAGACTGCATCGGTAGACGAATCCATCCCCACTTCGTAGTCGACAAAGAGGCATTATGGGGCTAAGTCGCCGTGCAAAAGCCGCCGAGGCCGACTCGGCAATTGCTGCGTCCGTCCCGTCTCCCTCCTCCACTTCTATCTCCTTGTCGGCTCTGTCCACATCCAGGTTTCTGGCCTTTTTCCACAAGAAACAGGACTCGGAAGCCGAAGCCTCGGACAAACGCCGCGCTGTTCAAAGTATCAAGACGCACCACAAGTCGTCCAAGCACGAGCGGATGAAGCACTTGAGCAGGAGCCGGAGCCAGAGCTTTGGCAGTGGAGAAGAAGAAGCGGGAGAGCGGGACTTGTCTGGGGACGTCAAGTTGAGTTATTCAATGCCCCGTCAAACGACAACCACGACCACGACCACTGCTACTGAAGAGGTCAGTCATCGAGTTGCAGCACGTGACATTGCGGCGCCTTGTATTGGAGTCTTCCCACAACGCTCCCGTCGTTCGTCGTCGCTGCAACATTTCAACCGCTCGTCATTGCAGTCGACGTCACCAAGAGGTTCGGCGGACAGAGAGTGCAGGTTGGAGCTGGACGGTGGAGACTTTTCTCGTTCTCGACGCTCGTCGAGCGAGATAATGGGGCGCGAGAGCTCTGTGGACGAGTTCTTTTCGAGCTTCCCACGAGACTTGACGGCCGATGTGCGGGTGACGTGCTTGGTTGTGAACGTCAGACGGTCCCAGCGCTACGTCCGGAGTCTTATTGCGTCGCTGGAATTCGAGATTCGAGCAACCAAGTGGGCTGCCTACTTTCTCCAGATTGTGCACACTGCACGCCTGGAGAAGCGCCTTTCGGTGCGAGCGGCTCTCTCGATCAAGTGGGCGATTTGTGCGCACGTACAGGGTCAAGATCAAGCACGACTGGAAGCGCAAAAGAGGTCTGACTTGACGCTGCAACGGAAAATGACCGAGTATCGCGTTGCACTGCAGTGTGTTGCAGGCACGCACGTTGTCAAGTTCGGTCGGAAGGGCAAGCCTCATGCAACGTCGCTGTGTGTGGAGAATGGCGATACGCTGCGCTGGACGTCCAAGTTGTTGGCTCATGCTACGCATCTTGCTGCAAATGGTGTTGCAGCGACGACGACAATGGGCAAGAAGCGAGTGAAGGCCAAGAACGTTGTCCCGTTGGCAAGTATCGTTCGAGTCACTTCTGGTCCAGCTACGAGCGTGCTAGCTCGAGCATTGCACAAAGGCACACTAGCTTTGGCCGATGCAGGCTGCACCATATCTGTGGTAACGCACACACGTACATTGGATCTCAAGGCCAAGACTGTTGAAGAACGCGAGTGGCTGCAGCGTAGTCTCGAGTTTCTAGCAGATCTTGCTCGTGACCACGAACGACGAGTGGCACAGCAGGTGGAGCTTACGATTATGAAGCGGATGGAAACGTTCTCAGTGTGGAAATATGGCCGCAAAGGTCGGCCGCACAAGACACGGGTCTCGATCGATCGATTCGGGGAAGTATCGTGGCTCGGTCGTAGCGGAGATTCACTTCAACTTGATGAGATCATCTCAGTAGATGAAGGTCTCCATACACCTGTGTTTGCAAGAGCTCAAGCAGCTGGATCAGTGTCTTCTGCCAAGGCAGCACGCTGTTTCTCGCTGGTGACAGCACTACGGTCTTTGGACATCGAAGCAATGAATGAGCAACAACGAGATTGGTTTGTCGTAGCATTTCGGTATCTGCTGGACAAAGTGCACGAGAAAACGGCTGCAATGCAACGTGAGCGGGCTGAACGACAACTTCGGATGCTGCAGGATCTCTGTCGCGAAGATGGTGGGGATGACAGTTTTGCCGGTGACAATGGTGACGAAATGTACTACGATGACTGCTCATCAGCACGGCATCGATAGGAAAACGAGCTGCTAACACCCCACGACGTCAAGATGCAGTGCAAAAGAGGATCTCTCTATTTTCTATGTGATCCGCGTGCTTCCTGCTCATTCTTGCTGCGCAGCTTCCTCATCGCGGAGCAAACTGCAACAAGTCTCGCCGAATCTTCAGCCACTCCTCCATCTGCAGCCGCTCGAGCGCCCGTGCATTGGCAAGGCGCTGCTCGACAATTTGGTTCAGTGCAAGTTGATGGGCATTTTCCAGCACCTCGAGTTGGCCATTGCTCAGCGTACTGAGATCCGTGCCTGGAACCAAGAAGAAAGCTCGCAGATCTACGGCAGAGACCCGTGGTCCCGACATCTCCAAAGTATGCTGCATGGTCTCCAGCGTGTAGCCAGCTGCCTCACCTTGAGCCCCGATATTCATCCCAGTCGACATGGAAAGACCCAAAGACGCGGCTTGGGCTTGTGCGAGACTGTTGCGGGTCATGGACTCCTTCGTGATCAATTCGTGGCATTTGATGCACTTGAACGTGACGGAACTAGCTGCCCGAAATGTCGAACACTCGAGACAAGAGGCACAGTAAAGCTGTGCACATGTCGAGGTCTTCTCATCAGCTTTTTTCGACGGATTACCGCTGCATTGCAAGTTATCGTTCACGAGCTCACCACACAGACCGCAAGCCAGGTAGCCCAGCGTTTCCGCCACACTTGAGTCGCTAAGTTGCAATTTGCCCACCCATCGATCACGGGTCTCCTGTGCGACTTGGTGGATACCGCTGGAACGATGCTGCTTCCATGTGAGACGCCCGGCTGAGGAGTAATGCATGCCTGTCGATGACGCTGTGCTTTGTGAAGCATGCGGAAAGCCAAAAGATGGTCGTTGCAGTGACGCGGATGAAATCGAGAGTCCACTTGAGTTACTTGTCGCTATAGACGACAACACACTTGGCGTCTGGGCCGATCCAGTTGTCGGTCTCAGCGATCTGAAAGATGGAGCATCGGCGTTCAGCGGCGACGATGGTGTAATTGACCGAGACGATGCAGCAGAGCCACTCCATTTTCCCCATTGCTCCACCTGAGTTCGGCTTGACGAATGTGCAACAACGTCCACTTGCTTGATCGATAATTCAGCTGCAGCAGGTGCTGAAGATCCACCAAATAAGCTCCGTTCTCGAGCATCACCCGATCGCTGAGTAGGCTTTTGCCGGGAAGTGTGCGGAAATGGTTTGGGACAAAGAGTTGCCGCAGAATTTCTTCTTCGAGTTGAAGTCGACAATGGCATCTTCTCCCTCAGAGGACCTGTTGAGGCTTTTGCTGGAGTGCTCGCGACTGCAGCAATGGCAGATCGATGCTTCTTACCAACAGTGGTCCAAGCACTAGTCGATAGCAGAGGATCCCTCTTTGTTGCTTGAGTTGACTGCTCATGCATCGTGCCGGTTGGTGGAGTCACCCCATCGTTTACAGCATGACCTTCACGGTCATCATCACATTCCGGACCCACAACAGTCACTGGGTCTCCAATCAGTGCTTCCTCTGAGCTGAGAGAACTCGTCTCATCATCTTTTGCTTCGGTAGCACTGACGCCAACCGCCGTAGCAGACAGATCTTCGACTAAACGCTCGGACGTAGCGGCTTCATCTGTACCGTCATGGTTTTCTCCCTCCTGAGCAGTAACGTTGTCGAGATGAATTCGATCCTGTTCCGCCTCCTGTTGTATTTGTTGCTGCAGCTTTATTGCCGTCTTACGTTTGGTTTTCTTGTTTTTCTTCTTGCTCTTCTTGTTACTCGCAGTACTAGCTGCACCACTAGCTGCATCTTCCTCCATCTCCAGCATAGCCATCATACGAATCGCTGCCTCCTCCTCAAGTTGCCGCCAGATACCGCGCAAGTACTCGACACATGCACTACTCCCCGGCAGCTCCGATTCCTGCGCTTCTTCCAGCGGTGTCTGACCAACCGCATTCCGCAGCGTGATATCCGCCCCAAACACAAGTAGTGTCTTCACGCACGCCAAGTAGCCACAAGACGCAGCCAAGTGCATCGCCGAACTGCCTTCGTGATCCTGAAAGTTCACCAGCTTTCCATTCTTTTCCAACAGCATCGTCAGTACCTCGGCCCGTCGCTCGTCTCGCTCCTGCTCTTGCTCCAGGTCTTCCCCTATCATAACAGCACACAACACTGTCGATGCGCCGTACTGGTTCAGCACGCTCACATCAGCTCCGTGATCCAGCAACACCTTGACTGCTTCCACTCGCCCTTCAATACACGCCCAGATCAGTGGCGTGTCTGCATGGATGTTCCAGCAATCCACGACCGCTGCGTCACACGAACACAGCGCAGACATAACCGCAGCATCTCCATTCTACGCCAGCAACAACAATAGCAGCAGCAACAACAACAGCACCAGAAACCCCAATGTCTCAGTAACTCGTCCCATAGTTTCACCCGTTCCTTCTCTCTCTCTCTCTTCTCACTTTTGCTGCAAAATGCAGCGCACTGGACCTCAATTCGTACGTGCGCATCGACACGTCAGCACCCCGTCTCAGGAGCGCGCGCACGACGTCTGCATGGCCTTCAGCAGCCGCCACCATGAGCGCAGTGAACCCGTCGACGTCCACGTCGTTGACACAGACGTGGCCACTGTCGAGAATCTCCTCGAGACACTCGAGATCGCCCTCGGCAGCGCACTGGTAGAAATTAATCGCCCACGTCTGGCAGTCCGTTAGGTCCACAGCAAACTCGGCCGTTGTCACTTCGTCGTCATCTGAATGCACTGGCCAAGCAAGAAAGGGAATGTGAGAGCAACCACGCGCGTGTGAGCAGCGAATAAAGCATCAGTACAATCGTTAGTAAGTGAGGAAGATGATGCGGGCAGTTGCATGTCTCGAGAGATCGTACACGCGACGCTAGACGCCGGCGCCGCAGCCATGCGGTCTCCTGGACGTGTCGTAGCCATTGCTTGACCGAAAACATGGGCGACCTCTAGAAGTTAATACACTCAATCGACTGGCTAAAAAGGATGTTGAAGTAATCCAGATGGTCAAAATGATGATTATGGTGGCGTGTCGCATATGCTGATAATGGGTGAAAAAACGGCTGGCGGGCGGCTCAATGGCATAGTAAACGAACAGTAAATGTAATGTGCGATGACAGAGACATGAACAGACGTTTCTTCTGGACACGCGCTCGCTGTCGAACGTGAAAGATCGTCGCGTTGGTCCCCGTCCAGCGAACTGAGACACGTCCGTGTCAGCAGATTTCTCGATCTATAGATATTTTACTCGATGCTTTTGGTGGTGGATCGACTCACTGAGACTCTTGAGGCTCTTGATTGATTTTGCAACTACGTTATTGCAGTGGGGAACCAAAAAGTGGCAGGACGATGATTGTAGTCGGAGTTCAGCGTTGGAATTGCAAACGGCGGTATCAAAGAGCAGTTGCAAGGTCGCAATTGCGTGAAGAAGACACTTGCTTTGTAGCTTTTCTCATTGCATGACGTGCTTCAGCTACGCAGGACAGTTGCATGGCGCTCATAAATATTGATATGCACTATGGACCTTCAGGGTATACGCTTCATGTCGTGCTCATTTCTGTCGATGACCGCGAGGCTGTAGATGTATAGGAAAGGGTGTAAATTCGATGAGGTTTTGCGAAATTCATAAACATTGCAATCGCGAGCGAGAAAACGGGGAAATACTAGAGCATGAGGTTAAGATGTGTGTGATTTGACCTCATCCTGGACACGGGTTTGGGTACATTCATGCCATCTCCTTCGAATGACAGAGAGGAGTCCTCTCTGAGACTGAAACATGACGTGGCCACTACGCGGACTGGAGAGCGCATTTCTCTAACGACAGCAAGTCCCACACCTCACCTGATTCTCCCCAAACTTCAGTAGTCCAGATTTGTAGGCATTGTCAGCCACGTAAATAACTGAGGGAGACACGCTCGTTCGGTGGCATGCGACAACAGGAGTCACCACAACTGTTGCGCATTGGTACAACCTAGCTGATGGAAGTTCCAGATCCGTTTAAACAGTGTCTGAACATGCTCCAAGAAACACAAGGAGCAAAGACTTCACAGCGCTAGATCATCGTGACGGACATCGTCGGATATAGACTCAACAACCGCCCGCCGCCCTCTTCCGCACGACTGTCTCGTGGACAGGTCGGCCACTTGAGCTGTTACAACAGCGATACCGTCTCGACGTGAGTGAATTACTCACACGAGTGAGCGCATAGCCGCCAATGGTTACCAGGTGCTGGCTGGATTCACAAAATTTGGCCGCTCACCATCGCAGCAACGTGCGCTGTAATCGATCGTCTGTCCCCACCACGTGTTTCGTGCATCATCAAGTGGATGGACGAGTGTGCTCAGATCCAATAGCGCACTTGCAATGTCTGGTTTCTACCCGAGCGTGTCTGTCGTCGCAGAGATAATCTTCCACCACTCATTCTTATCCCACCTGTTTTTGTGGGCTTCCTTGCTCCGATAGTCTATTATTACACACAAGCTCCGACGACGAGATACTTCTAAGAATAGCGGCGGTTTTTGATACTGCACACGGTTTCTTCAGGTATTCCCAGCCAACGGGTGTACGACCTTTCCATGGTTCCCATCAGCCGGATCCCCGCATTGCTCGAGGCCAGCAATCGCACCGCACAAAAGAGCTTCGAAGCGGCTGTCGGTCGATCAGCTTCTTGTTCGTACGAATCAGGCCGTTCAAGAAGCAGAAGATGAAGTCGACGAGCTCGAGAGTGGTCGCACACACTCACTCACCTCCATGTCAAGGACTGGGTGAATCAGATGTCATTGATCGCCGAAGAAAGAGTCAAACCCTCTACTACGCTCCACAACCTCCACAGGGTCCGAAGACGTGACACCGTCCTACTGACAGCATTTTGCTAGTGTCCAACATCTCGAGGTGCGAGTCGTGTCTACGCTGCCTTACACGATACTGAGTGGATCAATTGTATGCTCAAAAAGTATGTTAGAGTTGTCGGTAGAGTACCCGACCGTCAGGAGAGCCGTGATTGTGGAGACACACCACAAGCAAACGCGTAAGTGTAAACAGATTTATTCTAAACAGGTCGATCGCCTAGAAAACCTACGGACGTTGTCTTGATGTTATTCCTTGTAGTAATCAGTCCGCACTTGCCTGAGACAATGATGTAAAATTTCGCCCATTGATTTTTCCACATTACACCTTCTCGGCTGTAATAAATGTCCACAACAATGCCATGATAACAGCGAACTATTACACTAACGTTGAATCAATTGGCACGACCCGTCGAAACTATCACCAAGTCTAGTCACTAGGGATCTATTGATGCATGAATCCACATTACGACCGTGAATGGTCACTTGACAGCAGGACTGATAGTGTTTCGTGAAAGGTCGTGACAGTGGTGTACTAAAAAATGAAAGATGTGGTCCTGGATGCGATAAAGCAATCAACTTGACCACTAACATTGCAATTGAATGAGTGAAAAATTCACATGCGTACTACTCAGCATGTGGCCATGAATTCACGGCCTACATGGCGACCAAGCCACGCGACGATGCTTCGTTCAGTCGATTGGTCCGCTTCTTGTTGTCAGAAATACCAATCGACTCCTAATTACAAGATGCGGCTGCACGACAATCGGTAAATGTGTGCGCCACATGAGTCACAACTTCAACTGTCCAGGCCAGGCATGAGAGACGACAGCGTCAGCACACCATCCCAGCTGCGGTGGTGCTGGTCTCGCTACTACCACAATCTGCGTTTCGAAAATAGATGATAGAAACAAAAAGAAACGGTCGGAGTCGAGAGTCAAGCAGCGTGTCAGTAAGTTGAAGCCAGCATCTCTCCCGCGCCCACATCGTCGCAGTGGCGGAACTGGGCTTGTGGCCCACTCTACGCTGTGGCGAATAGCGCTGAGCGCTGATTGGTTAAGAGCGAGTTGTCGACCGCCTCCAAATAGAAGTCGGTCGTTCCTTTCTTTGCGTCAAGGCGATAAGAAAACTGGCGCTCAGTATGTGGAGTCAGCGAGAGAACTGGCCCCTCTCGCTCTCTTTCTCTCGATCTCCCTCTCTCTACCCTCCCCCCCTCTCTCTCTCTTTCTGTGTTCTCCACGCTGAAAAGTCGATTCGCGACAAAACGCCCCGACTCGCCAAAAAGGAAAGAAAGCGCTTGGAAGCCGACAGACCAAAGCGAGCCACTCGCCCAGCTTTAGTCAGTCAGCCAGCCAGCCAGCCAGTCAGTCAGCCCGTCCCCCTCTCTCCCTCCCTCCCTCCGTCAGTCCAGAACCCCGAGCCGTCGCTTCTGCCCTTTCCCCCCACCCGTTTGCGCACTCCCACATTCCGCCAAAACGCAGCGAACAAGACAAAAGCAACCAGCGCTTCTCTTCTTCCTCCCGCCCCGCGTCTTCTCTCCCTCTCGCTCCCCCACCTTCATCGTCGCTACGACCGCCATTTTATCTGGACCCCCATGAGCGCCAACTCGGATCGGAGATGGAGTCTCGCGCGCGCCACCGAGTTCTTCAGTGGCGACGGCAAACCCGACATGTGCGTACCTTTCCCTTTCTCCCCCTCCCCTACTGCAACGCGCGCGCTTGCGTTGGCGCGCGCCCCTCTCGCTTTAACCAACTTTCACCTATCCGCCCCTTTTTCCCACCCGACCTTCATTCTCACCCCTGGCGTGTTTCCTTTGTTCTTTCAATAGGCTCGACATCCGTGGCATGACTGCCGTGACCAAAGGCGCGGCCGGCAAGCGCGACAAGTTCCGCAAGAGCGTCTCGCGCTGCGGCGTGTCGATCTACGGCCCCAAACACTCGGCCGCAGCTTCTGCCAGCAGCGACGCGACTGCGCGCGAGAAGATCTTTATCGAAGACCCGCGCGCGCCGTGCCTCAACATTGACTACTCGAGCGACGCGTACCGTCTCTTGCCGTCGTCCGAGAAGTTCTCGGCGCACACAGGCGTGTGCCAGATTTTGGGGACCAAGTGCATCCGTGGCGGCAAGCACCGCGTCCGCGTGGGGGACATCATCCGCTTTGGCAGCGTCGGGCTCCTCGTCACGGAGATTGACACTGGCGGCATAGGCTTGAACGACGCGACGCTCAGCTCGTCGGAAGTGAACAGTCTCATCCAGCGCGTCGTGTGCCACGACGAAGCGCTGGCAGACGTGGACAGCGGCATGGACACGGACGATGAGAACGCGGACGCGTCGGGCAACGACGAGTCGAAGCCGCGGTCGTCGCTCCAGCGACAGAGCACGAGTGCCATTTGCTACGTGTGCTACGACGAATCAGAGGACGACAATCCGCTCATTGCGCCGTGCAAGTGCTCGGGCGATACCAAGTACATCCACTTGAACTGTCTCAAGCGCTGGAACACAAACGGCGAGAAGAATGAGATCTGCACGGTGCTGGACGAGAGCAACGCGCGCACGTGCTCGATCTGCAAAGCGCCGTACCCGAGCAAGACGCGGCTACCGAACGGCAAAGTGCTGTCGCTATTGCCGGACCGTCTGAACCCGCCGTGCATTATGTTTCAGGTCGTGACGAAGCACTCGTCGTCGACGCTGAATCTGTCCACGCGGTACCAGCTGAGCTACAAGATGCTGATGGACAATGACATTCACCGGCCACTCATGGTCGGTCGCTCGTCGCAGTGTGATTTGGTGCTCAAGTACCGCACGGTGTCGACGATCCACGCCGAGATCCACTACTCGAAGGGCGAGTTTTTGCTCAAGGACGCGGGCAGTTCGAATGGCACGTTGCGGTACATTTACCGCCCGTTGATGCTGCACAACAACCAGTCGTTGCACGTGAAGTTTGGCCGCACGGTATTATCGATTAAGCCGACGAAGAAGATTCGGCTGCCGCACTTTTTCGGTGCGACGGGCCATCTCCACTCCAATGGCTCCCGGCTGGACGAGGGCGGCGTGCAGGACGAAGACGAAATGTCTAACACGTCCACGCCTCGAAACAATAGAATCCGATACTACCATCATGCGGCGCAGCAGCAAGTGCAAGTGGTGCCGGCGACGCAACAGCAGCAGCAGCAGCAGCAACAGGCAGGACGCCAGAACTTGCAGACGCAGATGCAGAATTTAGACCTGTAATGCCGTCAAATGTGGGCGCTCGTTGGTTTGGACGGGAGATCGTTTACGTGAGACTCCGCTCCTGCCGCCATCGGCCGAGCCGCTCTTGTACCATCATCATCAAGAGCCGATGCTTGGGAAATCGGTCGCCTTGACATTGGATCGTCTCGACATGTCGTGCTTTGTGTTAATTACTAATTCCACCTCGTCCCCCCACATTGAGAACATCAGAAGAACATTGGAGCAAGAAGAAGAGCGAGGCTGGCGTTGCAGCGCAGAGCGAATGCTGTGTGTCGTCCAGTCGTGGATGGAGTGATCGTTGTGACGGAAGAATTGCAAGGGAGTAGAGGAGAGAGAGGCCGTAAGTAGACTGGTCTTCGACTTGTGGGTGGGTGGTTGCTTGTTGTTGCGCGTTGCTCAGGCAGACGTTTTGGTGGAGCCGCGAAGCCGAAGATGCAATGACGTGAAGCTGGTCAGTGCGTTGAGAACATGCATATTCTACATTGTAATAAAAGGTGGCGAATTGGGCTTGCACTCGATTCGACTAACACGGCAACATCATTTCTTTGGCATTCACATTGAAAGAGAGGGACTTGTGCAGGTAAGTGCGTGTGCGCTCGGCTCAGTCGTCCGCCATGTTGGACTCCAGAACCCCAATAGCCATGGATTGCAGCATCGCCTGCTGGAATCGAGCAGCCAACTCTGGGTGCGCCTTTTGCATCCGGGCGTAGTGCGACTTGCTGAGGAAGAAAATGGAGCTGGGGGATTTTGCCTGCGCAGTGAACTGGTGACGCTTGTGCAAGACCAGCTCGGACGCACCTACGAGTCCTCCTTGGCACACGCGCGTGATTCGTTTGCGGCCTCGAAAGCCCGGCCCAAGACCTTCATGGATCTTGGACGGCATGAACACATCGACTTTGCCGTAGGCGATGAAGTACACGCCGTTGACAAGACCACCAGCACGGTACAGCGTCTCTCCTTCCTGCTTGTGCACGTGTGTCACGTACATCTCGCAGAGTTCCCGAGTGAGTGCACCACTACTCGCCTCATGTTCCGGAAGCGGCGAGCCAGTACTGATACTGCGGTTCGGTTTGCCGTTCTTGCCGGGCGAGCCATCAGGACGAGGCAGCAGCTGGTCTAGCAATTGCCAGGGCATACCTTCGTTTCCATCGCTGTTTGTTGTTGCCGGCGCCGACTCGCTGAGCGGCAGGACGCCTTCGGATACAAGCAATTCATCCTCACACCATTCCAGGGCCTTGTCCAACGTATCGAATACGAGAGACCCCGAGCCAGACCCGTCTTCTTGCTCGATCACGTCGTGGACGCGCAACAGTCGTTCAGCGTCCGTTGGAATACTCGCAAAGATGAGCACAATACCGTGCTGGGCAAGCAACTCTTTCGTGGCATTGAAGCAGCTGCGCACGGCCGTGGCATCCACGCCACTCACCTTCTCGAAGTCCAGGATGAAATACCTCGTACGAGCCGCATGCAGCGCAGCTGGTTCGTTCTTGCCAACAGCTTTGGGCGTGGACGAGTAGCCGTGAATGTCGTGGTCGTCGAACACGGAGTCCAGCGTTGCTAGATCGTCCGTGAATGTGTCCTCCAACGAACGAGCGACGTATGGCGAGGGTGCGTGGCGTCGAGGCAAAAGCGGTGAGGACCCAGAAAATGAAGTCGTGAGCGCCTCTTGCTTCTCCGTCGTGGTCACCAGGACGTGACGACGCACTTCATCCATGACTTTCACGCTGGAACCGAAGAAAATGAACCCTTCGAGCTCCAGCGTCACGATGGACATGCGCATGTTCTGAAGCAGCACACGCTCGCGAAGGTCACGCTCGACACGAGAGCGTTTCATGACGCGGTGCACACTGGCTGTTGCAATGTACGAGTAAATGAAGTTGAAACCAGCAACGATGATGCCGACCACGATGCCCAACTCGAGGTTCACGAAGACCATGGACAGGAACGTGAGCCACACGATACCGTATTCGCGTGAGAGGAGCTTATTGCGCGCATGCCAGAGCCACTCAATCATGAGATCAAGACACACGAGCATCTGCAGCGCGCCAAAGAAGACTTTGGGCACGTAGGCAATGATTGAAAAAGGGCAGAGCACAATCGCAATCTCGAGGACGAACACGACGAGACCGACGTAGCGACTGTCGAGCTTGCCGCGCAAGGTAAAGATCGTCTGCGAGAAGAGGTAGGAGCCGGTAAAGCCACCACCGAGACCCGAAAGCAGGTTGCTGACACCCACAGTTTGCAACTCGTGGTTGTGATCGAGCGGCTTTCCCAGCGCTGTTTCAACAGCAGCTACATCGAGGGATGAGGAGAAGGCCACGACAAAGTACATGGCAACCCACGTCGGGATCTGGTCCGTCAAGCGTGAGAAGTTGATCTTGGAGAAGTCGTAGAATCCATAGATCTGCGTGATGGAGCGCGGCGACGGAGGAGGTTGGGCGACCCACCCAGCTGCACGAGCATCGTCAAGCGACGACCCCGTGATAAGCAGCAACCCGTAGAATGTAGTCAGCATCACGGCCAAGCAGCAAGGCATCACGGCCATGTGGTTCCAGCGTGAATTGATCCAGAAGATAGCTGCACCAGCAATGACGCCCGGTACGGACAGTAGCAACATATTCCAGTCGGCCAGCTTGATCCAGTCGGCAGGTTCCTTGATGCTCAATGTGGTCATCATGGACAAGCCAGCCTCCATGGCATAGAAACCAATGAAGGCCAGGTAGCCACCAACTACTGGCATCGGCAAGTACTGCACAAAGCTGGCGAGTCGGAGCTTGCCCGTGACAATTAGTGCTGCGCCCAAAGCGGCCGTGGACACGGCCATAGTGAACAGCGTCGTGGCAAGCGCCTCGTCCATGGAGAAAGCCTCGCCTCGCAGGTCATGCAGTGACTTGATGATGGACGAGGCCATTGCTGAGAGGAAGATGAGCCCGGCGTCTTGCACTTGGCCCATGGCAAAGGGCAGCGAGCTGAGGCACGTGAAGCAGATTTGATGCACGGCAGCTGACACAAGCACGAGCTTGACGAGGTCGTTCATGTACGGCTGGAACTCGGGATCCCGGAAGATGATCTGGGCAAAGCTGATCATGAGCGGCACAAGAATCACGGTGTTCAAGACACCGTAGACCCCAATCTTGATTTTCCGCTGCGTGGGACTGAGCAGCGTCCCGTCCATCGGTCGTTGCAACAGCATTGCGTCCTCTTCAACGTCCATGATCACGTCATTCAATAACGACGCAGCGGCATTAGCGCGGCGCGGATGGTACGAATGACGCGGCGTCTTCATGCTGCCGTGAAGCGGTGGCAGGCCACGCATGGACAAGGGCGTGCTGCCATCGTACGTGCGATTGATCGTACCATTGCTATCGTAAGTGCGACCGATCGTCCCCACGGGCGACTCGGCCAGCAGGAGACTCCCAAAGTCGCGGCGACGCGTGCGTGGCGTTTGTGCCGTGGCTCCCGTGCTGTTCATTGTCAAAGCAAATGAAGAAGTGACGACTTGGACTGGTGTTCAAAATGGTAGGTCGGCACGTCCGTCTGCCCCGTCTGGCGCTGTGGCTGTCCTGTCTGTAGCTGTCCGCTCCGTCTCTTGCCATCGGTCCCGTTTCTAGCTGTTGTCCTGTCTCTCGTGTCAAGAGGCTGTCAAAGGTCTGCCGTATGTTACGTCTGCCACGTTTATTGGAGAGAGGTCCGACCAGCTGAGACCTCCAATGAGGTCGACCATTGGCAAGATCTGCCTGCCCGCGGGTGTGAATAAATGGTGAAGACTCGCAACCGCATACAGCTGAGGACGGGCAGTGAATGATAGGGAGGATACACTAGGTACCTGTCGAGATACAGGTCTCGAAGCATGGCAACCATTTTCGGCGCTGCTGTCTGGAAGTAACGCTACGCTGGATAAGCGGTCTCACTAAGTCATGCTGCCTTTTTTGACGAAAGATCGAGAACGTGACGTCTGGTTCATGAACGGCAGCATAACTTTTTTCAAGAGCAGAACGAATATTTCGTCGGTCCTGAAGACAGTAAAGATGTTCCGCCCTGCACTTCCAGCAGCAAAGCATGGGACAGTCCAGCAAGAGATCGGAGGAGAGAAAAATGCTGCAGTCTCTTGGTCGGTCTATGACTCGTCAGACAGGGTAAAAACCATGTCGTACGCAGCTGTCGACGATGATCAAGTACGGGCCTGGTTGGTAGAGACAGATTCATCCTGCCTGATGTCACGTCTTGAGCGCGCGGGAATCTATGCGAGCAAGACAACGTTTTAGCAGGACAAGGGTGCGACTAAAGCAGCTACATGATCTGAGAGTGGGTCAGACTTCCATAGTCACCACGCGGTTTTCGGACTGCATAGATCTCGACGAAAAGGCGTCCCGGCGGCGATCACGCGGCAAGATACAAGGTCTTGTGGCTGTTTGGTGATCTAGAACTGCAGAGCTGTGAGGGCGTAGTAAAAGACTGCAAACAAATTGGAACGACCACCTGCTTCGAACTGTGTCTTCCGACAAACGGGCGGTCACAAGTATCAAGTGACCCCGCAATGAAGCGTCTGCTCGCTTGACTATTCGGTCTGGTCGAATCGAACCTCCCGCTGATCTTCCCGCCCTCGTAGTCGTGATCCAGTGAAGTTCCGATGTTTGTCGACGGATCGACACATTTGTGTGCGTCTATCCGCCATAGAGAGAGGACAGCCAGCCAGTCCTATCCTCAGTACCGACACCTCTTTGTGGCAAGAGCTCCAAACGCAGACAAAATTTGGACCTCATGAATCCTGGTTTATAGGCAGCGAGGAAGCGAAAAGACTAATCGGGAAAGGAGCAGACGCAGTGAACAGCATCAGTGTCGGGACCAGCAAATGAAGACTCACCTAACGACTCCTCTTTTCAGTGATTCTGCGCTACTCTTCGACCCCGAGCTGTCACTCATTCACGTTATGATTTCTTGCATCTCTGCCTCAGTTGCGGCTACTTCTCAGCCGCCCAGGCGGACTATTGTTGGACAATGTTACTTTTTAGGGTTCAGATTGTCGATGGACAAGGTGTTAAGCCTATGTGCAAGATCTCGATTACATCGTAAGTCAGTCCGTTGACGATGGCCGATGGCCTAGGAGCTGGTCGTGGTCTATCCCAACAGCAGCTGGTGAGTCCCAGGTTCTCGGACAAAGCAGGTCAGCGATAAATGGTGATGCATTGACCATGGCACCATTAAATGTCATCTCCGCGTCTCGATGCTTCCTCTTCGCGATTGCTCGCAGGTGGCACAATCCGACACCCAATGTTGTTTGGGCTCCTGTGAATGTCGATCGTGGCTGTTCAGTGGACCGATACATCCCTCCTCCCAAGCCAAACTTTTGATGCGTTGCGCAAATTGTTAGGATTGCGAGCCCAAAGGGTGAAGCTACTAGTGAGCGTGCGCAAGGTTGAATTCCGAGCTTTTAAATCGTACTTTAGTGTGCGTCTGTGTGTCTGTGTCCGTGTGTCTGTAAAAACGCAGTGAGGTGCACCTCGCGCGAACTCAGTACGATCTAGCCTGTTCCCCCTTCATAGGTATACAGGCATATTCGAAGTCACTCTTCGGCTTGATCACTATTCCGGCGCACGCTTATGATTGGCCTAAATCGACCAAAGGTGAAAATGATCGAATAAGCAAATGCTGGACGCTGATAAGCGAAGGCTGTTTGTGTTGCATAAGTTTACTTCTGGGTTAAATTAGATATCAACAGCATCACACTCCTTATTCAGTGAATTCTGCTATTGTATGGTTTTTGGCAACTTGGGGCAGTTCCTTAAATTACTTATTTTAAGGGGCGAGCTTCAAAGCTTGCTCTCCTATCTTATTCGGGGCACAGACAAACGAAAGTCCAGCAATAATGTAGATGCTTCCTTATTATATTGAGAGCACGGAGAATGAAGCTATCAGAGCTGTGGGCAAGGTGAATGCCGAGCTTTTAAAATTGGACCCATGTGTCTCTATGTTTGTCTGTCTGTGTGTCTGTCTGTAAATAACGCGGCTAGGTGTATCTTACACGAAATAAGGGCGATCTCGCCTGTACCATTAAATGGATACAGTCAGTTATCTCTCAGACAGGGGAACACGCTCTGGAGCTCGCCCTTTGGTATAAGTAATCGACTTCGGAAAACTGAACCAATTTTCAAATTATCGTACAACAGCAGCAGTCACTGACGAAGGAGTGTGATGCTGTTAATGTCTAAATAAACCCAGAAGTGTACTCATGCAACGCGAGCAGCCTTTACTTTTATCGTCCAGCATTTGCTTATGCGATCGTATCCACCGTTGAAGACTTTAGGCCAATCCCGTGCGTGTATTACAACAGCGACCTTGCCAAAGTGTGACTTCGTTTGTGCTTAGATGCCTACATAATGGGAAACGTGTAACGGGGCACTGGTCACTAGTACTGCGTCAGTACTAGTGCACCTACACTTACAGCAATGTGTGCCGCGCGCCACTTCACTTACTTAATATGCTCAAAGGAAGGCTAGCTAATGAACGACGCGTTCAGGAGGAGTAGATAGTAAAACTGTATTCAACGTAACGAATTCCTAACTACATGTACCTACGTTCATTCCTAAACCAATCATAGTTATCGACAAAAGTGTATGCTGAAGACTTGCTTGACACTCATTGCGCGCATCCATCGCTGATTGGACCGCTAGAGCTGTCTTATGTGATGGCCCATATCAGTCAACCTGTGTGCGCTTCGGAATATTACCCCTTATGGTAATATTGATGAACAGGATCAACCCGCATGATAATATTCTAAATAACAAATGTCAAAGTCGATTGCATGTAACAGACTCACCCCGTTACATCACTCCCACCTAAACAATCGTCACTCAGTCACTATAATGTTGATGTGGTCACAGTGAGACCAAATGAGGGACAGAAAGCATTCGTCGTCTGATCCATTCATTTCTGGATCTTTATCGCATGGTTAAAAAGTCCATGTGATGCGCGGCGGAATCTGCTGAGAAGGCAGCTGCGCGTGTTAACGCAGCTGTTCCTGACGATGCATAGCCTCTTGTGGTAGATATGTTTCTTCTGCTGCCCCTTTAACTCTTTCTGCAGCACCATTTGCTCCAGAGGCACGTTCTGTATCACCACGTGCTGATGATGATAATGGTTACAATAAGTGGAACTCATCTATTCGGGGGATTCGGACGGTGGGTCCGACTCGAAGAAGACGCCTATGTCGCCCGAATCTCAAATGGCGACCGAGTACAAGCCTACGAATAGGACTAGAGGAGGTGGTCAGACTCATGGTCATTACAGGAGCTTGTTTAGTTCGGAGGATTAGTATTCTTGATTCACCTTCTGCGCATGCTACTGTGCATTCGCTTTCTGGAGATTGCGGTGATGTGTTGCAACGTCGTGATGACGATTGTAGTGGTGCCACGCAGGAGAATCTAGACGGCAATGTGCTGTATCTAGCCACTGAACACAAGCCTTAGGTACTACCTGAAAGGCGTGTGAATGATTTGTCAGGCGAGACAAGTCAACATCATCAAATCCCCCTGTTCGATGCAAGGCTGCTGCACGGCCTCGACATCGGCGAGAAACTTTCGCGCTGAAAGGGACTTTGATCTTTATGCTTTTCTCAAGCATCGTTGGTATAGCAGCAGCAACAAACGAGATAAAAGCTCGTTGCTGCAGGCGTGGAACGCTTCAGACTTAATGTGCAGCACATTGGGCGTGATGCCTGGCTACGAAACCTTGACGCAGCTCGTGTCAGGTTTTAGAAACGAGCTTTAACTGGTGCAAAAGCCAGGTTAAACCATCAGTCTCGTGAGGTAGGAATTTCATGCCTCACGCGGGGCTACCCGTATCCGTGTTGTTTCGACAACAAGCAACGAAGACAAAAAGGCGTGTACTTTCTATCTTCTCCGTAGGGTAGGGCGCACATCTCTTCTGAGATGCACGATGCAAATGCTTACCTGCAATCGCTATACGAGCGCCATGGTCGCGTGCTCTCCGATGGCTGTACTGAGTCATCGGACTTATCTCGTCATACTGGTGGACAGTTCCCTCAATTTCAACACTCAGCTGGACGCGAGGCTCCTAGCTGTCTTGCGACGGCGGATAGCCGTGCCAGCGAACAAGGTAACTCGTTCACTGCCCCTTCACGTCACGTTGGTTCAAGATACGCTCTGCGTGAAAGCGTCGACCACCGTACGATCCCGCCAACGGATTTGGTGGGGGAGGGAAGATCAACTCCGACATTTGTGCTGGAGTTGCAGACGGAGCTAGATAGTGTTCAGCAACTTTTACGCGATCTGTGCGACCGCACCGATCAACAGAGACAGGAGAGTCTCTCTCTTTGGATGCGTGGGTGCCACACCTCCAACTTTATCGGTTTGACGACCGAGCGGAGTTCGCGTTCCATCAATTGGAGAACGAGCAGAGATGTCAAGCCTTTCGCGACGAAGGTTTTGACCTTCGTCGCCAAAATGCAGCACA